CATTGACGCAGTGCTTGATGATGCTTGATGTGTGTCGGCAGTGCTGGGGGATTTTCATTTGCCTGGGCATTGATGCGCCCAGCGTGGGACAGACGTCAATCTTGACTTGTGCACCATGGGCATGGTACTCGAATCAGGTTCAGAACGGCTGGATGTCACTGATGCCACTGCACACCAAACTCTTGAGTTCTGTCGCATCCGCCGAGAATATCTTTTCAGCAGCCAGCAATGACGCAAGTGTGATTGATTTGGAAAGTTTTTGACCGCACGTAAGGACGAACGCGCTTTTGTGGGTGCACATTTGGGTTTTCTACCAGCCGGTTGCTGAGGGCTTGCGATTGTGCTTGGATCGCGGTTGTTGTGGGCATGTAGGTCTGATGGCCCATCGGGCCTATCGTCCAGTTTCGATGTCAAGTTGTTGACGTACCAGGTTGCGCTTTGTTCCTACCTTGTTGCATGTGCTTGGACACGATGCCAATCACTTGGACGAGGCTGGACGTTGGTGACTGTGCATGTACATGCCAGTACCATTTCGGAGCCACATGTTGGAGTTGCTTGTACCGTGTTGGAGCACGGGTGACCTGCAGCCGGTGATGACGCAAGTGTGGTTGATCTGGTAAGTTGCTGACCCCGCGTGAGGACGCACACATTGCTGAGGGCTTGCGATTGTGCTTGGATCGAGCTTGTTGTGGCCATGTACCATGCTGCGCTTTGTTCCTCCCTTGTTGCAGGTGCTTGAAATGTTGGAGTTGCTGGTACCGCGTTGGAGCACGGCTGACCTGCAGCCGGTGATGACGCAAGTGTGGTTGATCTGGTAAGTTGCTGACCCCGCGTGAGGACGCACACGTTGCTGAGGGCTTGCGATTGTGCTTGGATCGAGGTTGCTTTCCGGGCGTGTGGGTCTGATGGCCGATCGTCCACATTGATCTCCAGTTGTTTGGTGTACCATGCTGCGCGGGCTATTGTGCTTTATTCCTACCATGTTGCATGTGCTGTGACACGATGCCAATCACCTGGATGAGACTGGACGTTGGTGACGTGCATGTACATGCCAGTCGGAGCCAAATGTTGGAGTTGCTTGTACCGTGTTGGAGCACGGGTGACCTGCAGCCGGTGATGACGCAAGTGTGGTTGATCTGGTAAGTTGCTGACCCCGCGTGAGGACGCACACGTTGCTGAGGGCTTGCGATTGTGCTTGGATCGAGGTTGTTGTGGGCATGTGGGTCTGATGGTCATTCGTCCAGTTTCGATTTCAAGCTGTTGACGTACCATGGACACGATGCCAATCACTTGGACTGCAGCAGCCAGTGATGACGCAAGTGTGGTTGATCTGGTAAGTTGCTGACCCCGCGTGAGGACGCACACGTTGCTGAGGGCTTGCGATACCATTTCGGAGCCAAATGTTGGAGTTGCTGGTACCGTGTTTGGAGCACGGTGACCTGCAGCAGCCGGTGATGACGCAAGTGTGGTTGATCTGGTAAGTTGCTGACCCTGTGTGAGGACGCACACGTTGCTGAGGGCTTGCGATTGTGCTTGGATTGAGGTTGTTGTTCGGGCGTGTGGGTCCTGTGGCCGAGCATCCAGTTGTGATTTAAGTTGTTTGGTGTACCATGTGGTGCAGGCTATTGTACTATGTTCTCACCTGCTGTGATGGACACGATGCCAACACTGGACCTGGATGACCGTGCATGTGCATGTAGAACGTCTCGTGCCTGCAAGCTTGAATAGTGGTGGAGCGAAGAGCATGTTCAGCAGCCAGTGATGATGCAAGTGTGGTTGATCTGGTAAGTTGCTGAACCCACGTGCGGATGCACATGTTGCTGAGGGCAATGTGGCTGTGGTTGGTTTGAGGACTCGTACTCTGGCCGGAGGATGGTTGTGCAATGCGAGCGCTGCTTGTTTTCTTTGGGATTCGATCGGATGACTCGGCCTGCTTGTACGTGGAGGGAGCTTCCAGGGTCATGGGTCACACTGCACCATGATGTCTGCGCAATGGTGTTATCCAGGTCATGCAATGAAGACAATTTGGTGCCATTCGTGTTTTGGGCAGAAAAAATGTTTTTTTGCTCTACCACGCTTCCTTTTTCTCTTTGTCTGCATGCGCACTTCACTTTGCTGGATGAGCTTGCCTTAAGAGACTGCAGAGTCTTAGCACACCAATGCCAGGTGAATGTTAGAGCTGGCGTCGAGTATAGCCGCTTCGTAATTCATGCATTGCGAGAGCCCCAAAGCGATGTTCCATGACCGCTCTGGATGTGTTTTTGCCGCTTTACTTCATTTTGGACGTGCCGTAAGGTCTGGATTGGGAGTGTCCAAACAGGACATCCGAGCAAAACTTGCACCCCGGCTGCATAAATGTACACGACACCTCTGCTCTACAGAATGTGGCTGACGTGGCTACCGTCTGAGCTTGTGTTTGGCAGATTCGAAGTTTCTGTGCCAGGTACCGTACGACATGAGATCGACGCACCTTTCTTAGTCATGGAGATGTGTGTGGCGTAAGATCATCTGAGAATCTGAGCATATCTTCGATTCTTGGGGGAAGGTGAGGTTGCGGAGAGGAAGTTAGCAGAATCAATCAAGACACACGGGCCCCCATGATTTGCCACCCTCCAGAATCCACCCTGTGAGCAGACATTTAGATTCAAGCGTCTGATGATCGCCACTTCGCTGAGGCTGCAGACGTGTGAGACAGTTACAGCCTACATGGGGTTTCCTTTCAGCTGCATGGCAGCAGTGCAGAGGGTTTAGCGTGAGTGGATGGCATTGTGAGTCTTCTTAGCGTATTCTTCAATTCTTGACCCTTTCTCTGCTGCTGAGATGGGGCTGAAAATTCCGTGGTGCCCGGGACTACACCCGAGGCCAAGCGCTAAGTCAGAGATAGAGGATCTGCTGTTTGTCTCCTTGTGCCTGCCTCCCAGACGATCCGAAACGTCTTCGGCCCGCTTACCTTTCCCAACGGTGGGCTCTTCCGAATTTGCTATTCGCCAGATGGAATTCAATGGCAGGCCCCCAGTTCTGGGAGGTTGCAGTGGGCAATGTTTTCGGAACCGTGCAAGCACCTGCAGGAACTGGATCCAAGTATCTCGGTGCTTGGTGCTGAAAGCACGACGAACAAATTCTGGCCAGACCGACGTTTGTTTGCTGCGCAGCGCAGTGCATCCGTGCTGTGCCATGTTCACAGGGGAGAACACTCTTGCACAGGTGTCCAGTCAGTAGCCTTAAGCGACAGCCACCGGCTGAGAGTGTGCTCAACTGTGCTGCTTCTCTGAGGTTTCCTTGGATGCAAGGAGAGTGATGCCACTTGCATATTCATAACTGCTGAAGCTGCTAAGGGAATGCAGATTTGATCCCACCATCATCGGGTGCGAGTGCACTGGGAAGGCCTTCAGCACCATCTGCAAAAGCGATGCGCTTTCATCAGCACTTAGCCTTGCTAGGTGCAAGGTTACAAAAGAAACAACATGACGGACGATTTCATGCTTCTTGGAATGCCACGAGCTTAGAGTGTCCTGGGAGTCTGCCCGTCTGCCTTGGGATGACACGCTCTGTAGGCCAAATCCTGCCTATCCACCTTGGAGGGCAAGTCTGACTTATGTGAACCAGGCTGGGCTGATCTGGGCTTACAACCTGAGGGCCTGAGGGAGTTGTGCGGCTCCATTCGCTTGTGGAACTCCAGGACGTCGCTCATGTGAATGTCAGCTGGGGTGCTACAGGTATGTGGTGGAGCTGTTGATGCAGCTCCCTTTGTTTCCAAGGCCGCTTTCTGGAAAATTCACGACCGACTAGCTTTGCGAGTCTTGCAGATGAGTTGATAGCATTGCCGAAGTGTATGAGGTGTCGGAGGTTACCAACGAGATTGGTTACGAGGCTCTTTGCTGCGTTCACAGAGTTGGAAGAAACTTTCGATTCAATAATGAACTTGGCCAAGGAAAGCTGGTTCACTGCGTTGATCCACTTGTTGGTTGTGTTGCCTGTTGCCTGTTGCTTCTTGCTTGTAGCTGCTTGTAGTTGCTGGTTGCCTGTTGCCGGCTTTGCCGTTGTTGCCGCCGTCACTGCCATCGAAGGACGAACTAGTTTCGTTAAGCGAGCGGCGAAAGAAACGGGACCGCCCTGCAAAGACCGACCAAACAGTATAGCTGATACCGTATTCTACTTGAATCACATGCTATGTTCGAGATTTGTTTTCAAATCTTGAGCTTCGAAACCTGTCTATCCGGGCCTGAGAGGCGCCGAACCTCGCTTTTCCAGCGTTTCAAGTCTGCTTGTCTTGTTTCCGAAGCAGCCTGAGGCATCCAAATCCACATTCGGACTCTGATCAACCCTAAACCCTAAACCCTAAACCCTGATGTCCTGCTACAAAGATCCACAACTTCGGGCTCATCAAAGATGGCTTCGATCTTGGCGTGCTGCACTCAGCAGCATTCGCTGTTCTCAGGCTCTTCATCTCGAGCCATGTGTGCACCGGGTCTAGGGTTTAGGGTTCAGGGTTTGGGAAGTTTCTGCGTGAGTCTAGGAAGTCTCTGCATGGAGGTATGCATTCTGGATCAAGGAAGAATGTGGGTATTATGTGGCGAACACACGGCAGCACCAGATTTGCACCCACAGATGCATTGCTTGGCTTTGTTGGCTTGCGCGCTATCGTGTGATGGTTTGCGCAAGCAGCTGACGGAGATGGTGGCTTGGCATTGTGACAGCTGCACATCCGAAGTTCACGGTTGAGATGCAGAAGGCTGCACATTGCATATAGCTTCAAGTTCAAAGTCAGGTGACGCTGGTGTGCGTGGCGCGGCAATGCCGTGCAGTGGGACGGCGATCGTGTGCGAGATCGTATGCTGCGACTCTTCCGTGTTTTGCTGGATCTTCTATGGCAGTGCTGAGAATCTCCTGACACATGAGCATAGTTCTAGCAACAGCAAGCCCCAGCATCCAGCAAGAGACCCATCGAAAGGCATCTAGCGAAGCAGGAAGCATCTTGACATCTACGCCCCGCCTCTCTGATGCGTCGTTGTTGTCCCGCTTCTTCATGGGTTCGAGGGTTTGTTCGTGGCGGCACCAAGGATGCACGTTCCACGTTTGGCTTCGAAGTGCCGAGCGTCACTGCCAGGGAGGGTGGATCTGAGGACGGGGGTCCTGCAATCTCCTGCATGCACGCATCTGAGCCGGAGAGCCTGCAAACGAGGTGAGCTTCCAAAATGTTGCTGCCGAGTGTCAGGGCTGCACACGGCTGCACTACCTTTCTGAATGATGCCTCTCGTGTTGTCTCCTATGACCTACAGGTTGGCAAAACTTTTATTTTGGCTATCGTTGCATGTCCAGGCATTGGGAAGCTGCAAGGAAACAGTGGCACCGTGCTTAGTACTTTGATGTCCACTGACACATGGGAAGCTGGTCTTCATCTGCTTCGCAGAGCCAGAGACATTCTCCCCAAACTGAGAGGATCTCAGCACGCGCTTCAGCTGCTGGTGGGGCGTTTGCTGCATGGTCCCTGCACCTTCCTCCAGCTCGCAGCAGCTCCCCACGCCGACGCGACGCGGCCAAGATGCCATTTAGGGCCACTAGGGTTTTAGGGTTTTAGGGTTTTAGGGATTTAGGGTTTTAGGGTTTTAGGGCTTTAGGGTTCAGGGTTCTGGAAGGAGACAATTGAGAAGCGGCTGGTTGTATCTGGTCTTGTTTCATGTTGGCTCAGCACCCACTGCCCTGTACTGGACCTTGCCGAAAGGTTCTCTGATTCGTTTACACAGTACCCTGTCCAAACTCAGGCTTGTACGCTGAGACCGTGAGCGAAAGCTCTATGGCACGATTGTTCAAGGGGGTGCAGGTGCCGCGCCTGTCGCAAATGCAGAACACGGCAAGTCCCAAACGAAACCTTGTGATGGCTTGATGTGTTTTTTGCCAATATGATCCAATATGCATATGATGCAGTCGCACCTGGACACGGCGTCACTCAGGGACGAGGCACCAAGCCATGAGTCCAGCATCTTACGTCACATCGATTTGACGACTGACCACGTTCCTGCAGGCCGAGCTTCGAATTCCCTTGCGCCTGGTGGTGGCCGCCGCCGAGCGACGCTGGGCGACGGAGGCAACCATGTCCTCTTCTCCTACTTTATCTCTTTCCAGTCAGGCACTACCCGAAACGATGCCCGTCGAAGTCATGTAATTGACAACTACTTGTTTTTCCTGATTGCCGCTTGAAGACCTTTCGCTCTATTGTCATCCTTTGTCCCCCTTGCCAATCTTGTGTCTGCCAGCTTGCTTTCTGTGTGTAGAGTCTCCTTGTGTCTCATCACATTCAGCAGGTTAGCGTTCCCGAGAAACATCACCACAGAATTGGAGCCAACGAGTCACATGTTGCTATTCTGCCGTGGCTGCTTTGGGACAGATGTAGTGATGAGTTGGATGCCATGATTTCTTCGGAGCTTGCGTAGGCTGTTGTCTAGATTTCTAGTTGACAGTCTCCGAACGATCTTGAATGTCAGCGTCATGCATCAGCATACATGGGATCGGATCAGGAACTGCAATGTTGCATCTGGACATCTGCCCCCCCCCCCCCCCCGCCCGCATTTGTCACAACAGTGCAGCCTTAGAGCCAGTGCGAGTAGGCTTTCCCAAGATGGACCCTGAGGAGACCAAGGGAAAGACCAAGTCGACGAAGGTTCCGCGAGGGGATGCGTGCCATCGATTCGGAGACGACCGCCAGCGGAGAAAAAGTGTTTAATGAAAGCCTTGCTGCACGGCAGGGCATATGCCGCAGGCATCATGTTGGGAATGGAGTTTTCGGCAGCTTCAGTGCTGTGCCACCAAGCTGTTCTTGAAACAACTGTCAAGAAACCGGACGGACTGAGGTCTGGAAAGTATGCTACTGCGCTGGCTTTGATTTCGACAATGGTGCTGCAGATGGAGGTACACCTGGCCTGATTGAGCTACACCCGTGCGAGGTTCTTTGCATGTGCGGCACCAACACGTTGCCAACTTGATGTTCTTGACTTGTGGGCATCTTTCTGCCACGTGGCTTCGATCCGTGAAACGTGGCCGGTGGAGGTGTCGTCACAGTCTGCTCCAATAATGCCACTCTCTCAGGAATTGTCTACATAGTTTTTTGCTTTGCCATGGCTTCGCAAAAACTCGGCAAGGCTCCGCAGGATTTTCCGCAGGAGATCGGGTTGATGATTGTGATCAATGCACAGGGCTTGGCCCTGGTTTTCAACTGACGCATCCCGAGGGGGCTGAAGCATGAGCATGCTGAGCCCCCGACCCCCGGCACAGGTTCAGTCCTTGATGGGACAGGCAGGAAGTGTTGGGCACTCAGTGCTGTATCTTTGTCTTGATATTTCTTTGCTGGCATGGGACTGTCATAGTTTATGTAAAAAATGTCTGAAGTGCAATTTGTTGTGCTTGACCGAACGAAACTCGCAGAATTGGCAATGTTTTTGGCCGCGTTGCGGTCATCTGGCAATTTTTCCGTATTTGACATCTTACAGCCCCTTCCCTCCCAGACAGGCCTTACCTTGTTGCTTTTGACAATCAGTTCCGGGGGGTGTGTTGGGGAGCGTGGAGGGGAGGAGGGAGGAGGGTGGTGGGGAGGGTGGTGAGGGTGGTGGGGAGAGTGGTGGGGGTGTTGGGGAGGGTGGGGAGGGTGGGGAGGGAGGGTGGGGGAGGGAGGGTGGGGGGAGGGTGGGGAGGGTGGCGAGGGTGGGGAGGGGCGGGGGGGGTGGGAGGGTGGGGAGGGTGGGGAGGGTGGGGAGGGTGGGGAGGGTGGGGAGGGTGGGGAGGGTACAAGTTTCCATGCCATAAGATTTGTTAAGGGAAACCCTTGGCTGGATTTGAGACTATTTGTTTTTCGGATGCTTCACCTCGACGGCCCATCAAGTACATGACCTCGTTCTGCAAGTGGAGAGTGCTGTGGTTTCACGGACATGTTGCAGCTTTTTGCTTCATGGTGCTTCTCACAGTGAACAGCTGGAAAGCAACAGTTCTTGGAACGGGTCGGCGCAGTTTGAACAAACACTGCGCCTGAAAAACCTCGCTTTGGTCTTCGGCGATCTGGGACACGTAGAAAGGCGCAACGGGATCTTCAGGAACATGAACGGGGCATTCCGAAATAGCTTGGGGGCAATATCAGGACTGCCAAACACGAACGCAGGCTGGCCTTAGTGCCAATGAAGAAATGGCGAGTTTGGGGTTTGAAAAGTGTTTGCAAGAGCAGTCACCAAACCATTCAAGGAGTTGTGTTTCTTTTGTTTTTCCCCGCGTTGATTGGTTGATCCTTGGCAAACTTTGCTTGCTGGCTGGGGCCAAGAATGCAATGCGCACTGCGAACTGAGACCGACATCACCGTGTATCCCACTTTGCGATTTGGTTTGGTTATCAAGCCGCAAGCTGAGACACTGCATCCAGTTCAGAGCCTTTCGCAGAAGAGTCCATACAGTCCATTCAGCGAGAGCTAAGTTGCGGGCATGACGGTGTTCAGAACAGAGAGCCCGACTCTGTCTCGGGCGGATGCACGGCAGAGCTGTCCTGCTTCAGCACAGGGAGAGCAGCACCATGGCTTCCGTGAGATCTCCGAGTTTTTGCTCATGCCAGACCACCGACACCGCAAGATACAAGATCATCCGCTTCTCTTCGGAGAGCTACAAGGCCAGGACATGCTCTTTTTTGGCAAAGACGCCGGTGATGTGTGCAAGACTCACGTCATTTGGTACCACCGTTGCCTGACACGCTCAGCCCTACTACGATCCAGATGCGGGATGAACTCGCCTGAGCTGCTGCTGAACATGGCTTTTCATTGCAAGATGTGCCTCTTGAGCCGCATTCTCCCCAGGCCGATTTCTCCCACAGGCGTCGACAGTACTGGATGGTGCCAAGGCCCGCAGCAACGAAGCACCCTCACAGTATCCGGAAAACGCAGAGGGTGGACCATTTTCTAGCGTTAGCTGCTGGAATATGAGACTTATGGCTCTTCTGCTTAGTGCGAGCCAGACAAAAGAGTTTGTGGGGGCAAGACTTTCTTCTGGGGAGAGATTTAAAAACGCCGCAGGTCCTGGGAGGGCACCTCGGTCCGGCGAATTGTGAGGGACCTTCCACTTGCACGAGCCCCAGGAGACAGCTCTGCATGTATATATATATATATACACACACACACACACTTAAACATGTATATGCACATATAATACAACTAAACAAACACATGTCTCCTGACAACTACTGTATATATGTATATAAGATATTGTGGCAAGTTGGGGGCATGTTGTTAGCTCTGTGAGGCAACGACATTCCGGAGGAAGTCATGAGTGGAAAAGCCCCCACATTTCTTGATGCCTCGCGCTCACGTCCATGGTTTAGCAGGTATGTCAGTGGCATCATCCCTGTGTTGTTGAGGTGCAAATCGATGCCAGCTACGAAAACCGTGTGATGGTTGCAGCGACATACGATGTTTGCTACTGCGACGAGAACTGCCTCAACAGCGCATACTGGTTCAAGGCTGGGCTTGTGAACTTGCTGTTCTCCAGTGTTCAACGGCCCCCTCTCGGAGGCTGGCACGCTGGACGTGGAGCCTGTTGATAGCCATTTTACCATTGCCAGCGCCTCAAGAGCTATGCGCTGTCCGTCCATCCCCAACGATGTCCTGACAACAGCGTTTCAAAGTGTTGGGCCACGAGGGCCAAGCCGAGCAAAGCATTGTACTGGTAGCCGAGGACTATACAACAGGCTCGTACGGGGAGCTCCCAGCCATTGTCAATACAGGCCTGTTCCCTGCTGGAATCTTCCGGGTCCGACGTGATTTGATGGACCAGTCTAAGTTGCCTGGCAGGCCGCTTGCTGGTAATCCTCGGAAAGGGCACCGATGCGTCGCCAGTGCAGGGCAGTTCTTTCCTTGGTTTGTCGTTCGGGGTGTGTGTGTGTGTGTGGCGGCTGCAAAGAAAACCGCCTGCAAGGCTGGACTGGTGGCACCGATGCAAAGACAAGGGAGATGAAGTTTCTGAGGGATGATGCAAGCGCCCTAAGACATCCAGACATCAGCTCTGCAACCTTACTCAGTCCCTTCCAAGGATGGGAACGTGGACAAGGACTCCTGCCTCAACACAGAGCAACCTCTCGGCATCTCCGGACACCGCCTGGTCCCGACCCTAAGTTTCGACAGAAACCTTCCCTCACAGTTCTTTGCAGCAGCTGCAACTGCGTTTCACAACTGATATGCACATTCTACTGTACCATTTCCCAAGATAAGCGGCAACACAGACTACACGCAGCCCGAGACAATTCTGGAGGCATGGGGTATTCCCAGCAAGCTGCGGAAGCACGTCAGGTTGCGTACTTTCTCTCTGTGCAGGCTCTAGATCCTGGCCGCCCTCGTGGACAGCTGTATGGATTGGTGTGCAATACGGCCGTGCCCGGGCATAGATCATTAACTCCGTGAAGCGCTTTCATTTCGATTCTTTGTTTGGGAGCGAAGCTGGACAAGTCATTCCTGGCAGCACGACGACGATGAAAGTACTGCCTGCCTCCAAGGACCCGCCAGTCTGTGCCGCCAATATCCGCATCTCAGTGTGGGCATCCTGGCTCCTCCACGTGCGCCTTTTGTCGCCTTTGTATGCTTTTGAACGTGTGTGTCTCAAGGCCTGGATGGTATGCTGTGTGCTACTGCGACTCCAACTGCGGCTTCCTCGGTTGCGGTGCTGCTTCCACAAATCTGCACGCTAGCAGCAGCTAGCATTCAGAAAATATGACCTGAGGCAACGAAGTCAGCAATTGGGCGGTGTTTGGACGCCCGCTGCTTACGAGGTAGCTGGTTACGATTAGCTGTGGTCCCACGGTGACCAGTGAAGGATGTGGAGTGGCTCTCAGCTCTTGGGGCGGTAGCAAGTGTCGGCCAGTACCGCACGTGAGTGACAGGCAGCAGTTGAGAAGCAGCCTTTAACAGGGGCTTCCGAGTCTTGCGTGGCCGAGAAGACCACAAGAAGTTTTTCTTGCTGCGCGATGTCAGTGGTTTGATTTTTTGCATGCGCAAGTCCGGTTTGTGGGTTGTTTCTAGCAAGTTGCAAGCGGCACCGAAAACTGCCCCCCCAAAGCCTTCTCGTGACATCTTGCAACATCTCGTGGCAGAGTCTTCGAAGTTCGACCTCATTTCAGCATCTCGCAACCACCGTTATCGTAGAGTCCACCGCGACCATGCCGATTCAGGCTCCGAACTAGTGTCCTCCTATCCTTTTAGCCAAGTCACTCTCAGCCCCACGGGGCTTTCGAGAACAATGTTCTCCTATCCAGTTCCTATCCTCTATTTTGTGACCTCACTTTTCACCCCCTGCCGGCTGCTTGCCGGGGCGGAGTGTCACTTTGCGCATATCTTTGCTTTCCGCCTATGCACTCGGTGTCGGCTATTTTCGGCTTGCAGGCTGTTGACATGTGTTGGCATGGAGTTAAAGCATGTGTTGATGGGGCGAGTTTACGGCATGGCCGGTGTGGCCGTGTGACCTTTTGTATCGGTGAGGAGACCCAACTGTGCATCTTGCCGTCCTTTGCCACCGCACACTAGCGCGTCTCTGATTTCTCCCTTTTTGCTTCCTTGTCTCTGAACGGGGTCTTGGCGAGCGGTGCATCGACGCGCTCTGTGTCGCTCCCGCTTGCGTTTATTGATGTGGCCATGTATCCCTGCCCCCACTGCCAGGTCTTTCGGCTTTTGATTCTGTTTTCGAGAGGGCTTCGTGGGATTTTTTGCTGGGTCAAGCGGCCACCCGTGCCACGTCTCCTAGACTCAGTAATCTCTCCATCTCCGTAGCCATTGTTGAAGAGATGGGGGAGTCCTTTGTGCCCCGTTGGCCCGTTGGATGTTACAAGGGTGTGAAACTTGTGCGATCGAGTTGGCAGCACGCATGGCAGGGAACTTGAGTTGGTTCAACTGGAGTCATGTCTTCCTTCTCTGAACCAAGCTGATTACTTAGTCTTGCACCATCTGTTTCTTCACGCTTTGTCTCGGGTTCCAGTGGAGTTGGAGTTGTGTTCCCTGCTGTGCTCCCAGACAAACTTTACGTCCTCGTCATCCGTCTATGCCACACCAGCGATGTGTGGTTCTGCATGCAGCATGCTTTTGCCAAGCTTTCGTCAAGCTCGGGAGTTGCGAGGTGTCTCGTTGACAATTTGGGCTCCTTGGTGCCTTCGAGTCCTTTGGGCACTCGTTGCCTGGCCCCCTCCCCCCATGCATGTGGGCGTGGCCACTTCTCTGCCTCTCAGCGCGGTTTGTCCTTCCTCTGTTCCGTGGGATGTGCGATGGCCGACTTCAAGGAAAATCACTATCCGAAAGCCACAGCCGGCCTACTGCAGCTCTACTGCAGTCTCTGTGCCTCACTGTCTTTTGATAGGGGCTACTAGGGGCTCATTCTGGTACCCAATGCCTTGGGGCCTTGGGGCCTTCAAGTTCACATTCGGCACGTTCAGTGCTTCTCAGGTGAGCTGGTTGCGGGACCTTTGGCAAGGCAGACTTGGACCAGGCAGTGCAAGCATTCACCCTTGGTGTCTCTAACGCATCCTCTTGTCAATCTGGAAGGTATACAGGAGTCACCTTCAGCATTGACGTGGAGGGCTTCGACCTGAAGGACACCAACCGAGTCCGATCCCGAGTGGGGATCATGCTCTGCGCACCTGTGATTGTGCGAGCCGAGAGATGGGCGGAGTTGCAACTTCTTCTGTGACGATCCGCAGAGGCCTTGATCTTGAGTACCTCCCAGCAGCCGGGGCCTGCAGAAGGTTCTCTTGAGACTTCTCGTGGCACCTCTTCGGAGCTTCTTTTTTGAGCACGGTTTGCTCCTCCGCATTTGCCCTAAGGCCACAGGATTGTGGAAATGTCGCTCCAACCGCAAACGCATTTGGTCCGGCCATCATCTCAGTCTGGAGTTGAACACTCTTATGATACGGGGTTAAAAAAATATCACAGTACAATAGTTTGACAGTATGAGACATGCAGGGTACAGTCTTCAGGCCGGAGGTCTTTGCAAGCCCTTTCACTGTGCTCAGGTGGGTCAGGCGAGCCTTCACACTCGAGAAACCACAAACTCCAGGATGACTACCATGGTGCGCGGCTGAGTGTTTTTGCACGTACCTGGGGTGTGCAATCCGAATGCGTACCGTGGTATTTTGCACACTCTTTTGTCTGAATTCGGGTTCCCTGTTTAGCCTTTTTTTGATTGGCTAGGAAGGAAGACTGTGTGTCATGCGATTTGGCTAGAAGTTCCGTTGGTGCGACGAAGATGATGAAGCTCTTCAATGTTCATTTTCATTTTCACCACTTGCAGCTTGCCAATGTTCGTTTGAGCACAAAAATGATCGTTTGATGCTGAGTGTGAGGCGCAGTCGCAAAGATTGCAGCGTCTTGAGCGCATATGTGAGCTTTTTACTGTTTAGTCGCGACGGTATGTTGACTGATCATGTGACTTGAGATTCCTGATTCATCGGGGGCATGCCGGCAGTGAGTTTGGTGGGAATAGGGCGCCCGGACGGGCTGGCACTACAAAAAAGAAACGGATGCAAGGAATCACGAAAAATGTAGATTACGACCTTAAACCCTAAACCCTAAACCCTAAACCCTGAAGCCTAAACTCTAAACTCAAGTGCTCTTCACCCTCGATGCTGGCGCTGACGGCTTGATGCAGGTCTGGTCTGACATGGGCACTGAGATCTCCTTTGACAGGCAGGCTGTCCCTACTCCTGGTGGTATCGTCCAGTTTCGCGCAAGCCCGCGCGCAGTTTCACTGTGTGTTGAGGAGCCATGGCCTCAAGGATGGTGACCGTGTCCGGCTGTCAGGACCAGTGCTTCCCGTTGTCTCGGTTCTTGAAAGTTGCTTCGGGCCCTTGTTTTGACCGCAGCTAACGAAAGGAGTCAACCCTGATCCGAGCGACAACAGCCTCGCTGCGCGAAACTTGGCATGGAGCCCAGATGCCCCTCTCGATCGTAGCTGGGCTCCAGCTGGGGATGTCGCCGAGGCGCTCAAGCGCGCAGATATGTACAACACTGTGCATGAGGCCGGGGTCAGCTTGGTCAGAACACCAAGGTGAGAACATAAAGTAGCAGAGCCTTAGCAATCGCCATGCTGCATGCTGAGGGCACAGTGCTTGCTACACGCTTGCATATCACCGCGCGGCCGGGAGAGCGATATCCTTTCCACGGCCTAGAACAACACTGCGAAATGTTCCACTGCAGCCCCCAAACTCAGCACTACCGTGACATCAGCGCTGCCGTGACACCATCTTCAGCACAGCAGGAAGACGTGACCTCTTCGGTTTGCCTTGTAAGCCATCTTTGCAGAAGCAGGCTTCAATCACCCACGGTGCTGGCTGCAGGTGTTCGTATCGTGTGATGATGATGTGACTTCGTGTTGCATGCTGAGATGTTTTGCCTCCTATCCTTTCCGTGGAGCGATGTGGGAACTTAAATAGAAATAGTATAAGCACAATGCCTAGGCTGTTGTCTCAAGTTCACGAGGCTGGAAGATACTGGTCCCGATCAGATTCGCAGCTGCCGAGTTTCCCAACATTCCCAATGTCCCGAGTGTGGCGTCACAAGCTCAGCGAAACCTTCAGCCACCTTGATTAACCATGTGCGTGCTGTCATGTGCTGGAAAGCATTGCCACCAGATCTGCCTTGGTCCGTGAAAGAATCACGTATCCAGCATTTCACTGTCTGAGTTGGTCTCGCACGTCGAAAGAGACGTTTACGAGAATCAAGGCTGGTGCATCTGTGTCCAATGAATTAAACCTGGACTAGTAGTGGCACTTCTGGATCCAGGTGGCGGACGGCGCACAGTCACCTGAAGGGCGAGGCTATGTGGTTTGCTGGTTCCGAACCCAGCCGAGAAGATGGTCCAGCAAGAATGGCAATCTGCCCTTGTCTCCCCTTGTGTCCTTTCGCGTGGGGTGGCGTTATTTTTGAGCTTGACCCATGGTCTTTTTCATAGCAAGGGGGCGTGGGGGTGGGGAGCCGTGCTTTCCGTATCAAATGATGTCCCGCAGAATTTGTCCAAGCAGGAAGCCGTCCTGACCCATCAAATTTTGTAGTCCCGGCCTGTGGATGCGCAGTTGGCAGGCTTCGTTTTGATTGTAAACTCCTCGGCAGCCGGGGCGGCCCAAGCCCCTGGACGTGCACGTCGGCTGTCCTAGCGTCACCCGCATCGGCTGCAGATACGGAAACGGCTGCAGATCCCGCAAGATACGGAAAGCGAAGCTTGTACCCCAAAAGGCCGAAACTTTTGAACCGGCAGCGTAAATTTGCTGCCTTATGGCCTTGATTCGCAGCCAAGGCTTTTGCAGTGCCAGCAGGCTGCGCAAAACCCTTCGTTTCGGTACACTTGTTGCCCGTGTTTTCAAGTGAAGCATGGGTAGAGCCGTCGTGGCGGCTGCTAAGTCCATGAGGCGGCGTATGGGGGGAAGAGGGTTGGGAAGGGTGGAACCAGATCACAGTTCTTAAGGCCTGTGATAGGCGGTTGGAGAAAAGGTCTTATGCCGTTTTCGGTGGTCCGAATGGGCATTACAATTTCTTGGGAGCGCGCAAGCCGATCTGTTTTTCGATGCCGTGTTCTGGGACTGCCCTGAGCAAATCTAGTCCTATAGACTAGTTTTTTACCTGTCAAGCTTTTAATTAACAGGCTTTTCGTCAACCCAATCAGGAATCGTGCGCCCCCTTCACGCTCAGGGCGGGGGGCTTGCACCCGCGAAAGTTCACAGCGTCGTGGCGAGCGCCGTCGGCGGCTGTAGTTGGCTGAAACCACCTTTTTGGCCTTGTGTTGGCGTTGTTGTGACGAGCGAAGCAAGGAGGACAAGTTTCGAAAACCCTGACACAACCTCACCACGCCGACCCCAACCAAGCTTGTTCGGGACATTTTTGGGGCAGTCTCTGCGCACAGACGCATGGATTGACTCAGGTGGCCCCAGAAATAGTTCATTCTTCAGGGCTTCTCTCATCCATTTGCTGCTGTTTGGTATTGCGCAGCCCGAATTGGAGTCTTTTGCGAGAGTCTTGGCAACGGTCTGATCCTGGAATGCTTGCAAACTTAGGCAAAGTTGTCGGAAAACCATTGTCGCCTGAATCCTATTACAATCGCCTAGTTAAACTGCCCAGCCTGCAAACCTTTGAAAGGATCGAACTTGATTCAATTGGCCAATCATGTGAATAGTCATTGTCAACAGAGGTTGAACCCCATCTTCAAATGAAACTTGCGGATGCATGTCCTCTCGATCCAGAGTCTGATTGGGAGTTTCGCATGTATTTGGAGAATACGAGTTGGACATTGAGCTTGACTTTCCACATCATCAAATTCAAGCGTTAGCTCCCACTATACACCATTGAAGATGCAATGCAATGCAACAAGCAAGAGACAAATAACCATCGCCCAGAATTGGCGGAGATGTCCGTCCTAGGTATTTGGATCCTCCTTCACCATAAAGAAAGGAATTGGACATCAGCACTTTCAGTAGTCTAAGGACGATATCATCGAACTTCTTGTCATGCTTGGCGATGGCTTTCAGAAGTTCTGTCTCATCCGCATTGGGCTTCATCCCAGTCTGTCATGCATTTCTCAGGAAATGGTTTATCCAAAAGCACCTGCACGTCCGAAAGAAGGGTCCACAGTAGCTTGCCTCAGCACTTGCAATGGACAGCTTTCAGACATCCTACAGAAACAGTAAAGAGCTGTTCAGAGCTTGAGTTCTTGGGGCTATGCTTTTCGCCATCGCAAAATTTAAGAGAGTTAGTGGCGTCATATCGTCGACTACTGTTTGGTTTCGATGGTGTACTTTTTTCTGCAAGAAGTCTTCAACGAGTCCCACGGTAAAATTGGTTCCAGCGATTATGTTAACCTGGTGCTCAATCGCCTTGGTGGAGGGAAACGTTCTGAAGGGATATGAGACTATGCTTCAGTTTGCTACGGAGAGTTCGGCATAGGTGCAACGAGTGCGGCTTGGCGGCCACGGACTTCGGAAGCTATGTGGGCCAGGCTTGATGCTCATGTTTGGCCTAGCGTAGCTTGGCTTTGAGTGATCTTGGAACGAAGTTCCGACAGCAGGCTGGCTCAATCACGGTCAAGATGCCGTCATGCAGCCTCAACTTGGTACTGTACACAGCTTGAGAACAAGAGAGCAACATCGACTGTGCCGAAAGCCAGGAACTCCATGCCGGAGGCGTACTTGGGCTTGACTACGATCATGCCTGCAGCGTCCTCATTGAGAAACGAGAGTCACCAAGAATCTTTTTTTTTGATGCTTGTCAGTTTGTGCCATTTCACAGGACCAATCGCCTGGGTCAACAGCTCCTGGTAGTCCGGTTGCCATCGCATTTGTGACCGGCTTTTGTGCTTCGTGCGAGAACTCTGCATGTTCTGCTTGGAGCTCATTGAGAAGTGGTGTGAGCAGGACCGGAGATGTTGCGCACTACGCAACTGCAACTGGCCCTCGGCCTACCCTCCAAACTTTCCAAATCTCCTGAGCGGCAGGATGACGGTGAAATGACAAACTTAGATGACAAGGGCACTTGGACCCCAGGTCAGCAGCACCTGGTCTTTGAGATCATGCCAGGGCTGTGCAAGCCTTAGGCATAAGAAAGTCAAGAGCATCACTTTGGGAATGCCTGGGGTTGTAAGGGATGAAGCGGCTGGAGTGGTCAGAGCTTCGCACCCAGCTGCACAGTGAAGCGATCACACCGCAGAGGGTTTTGGACTGCAGAACTGGGACGTCTTGTGCCGAATCAGGATGTGCTGCTTCCACGAACCAACCTTCTGGAGGCAGCGACATGCATGTGCCGCACATGAGGCACTGTGTGACCTTGGCATTCCTTTGGTAGCACAGTATACTGTGCCATGTTCCGAGGCTTTGCCCTTGTCGTCCTTCTTTACTGTCACAAACAGCTGCCACAGATCTCGACAGCCTTTGCTCGTAGCTGTTGCAAACCCCCTAAGAGCGACATGGGTCTTTGCTGCAGCCGTGGGAAATTGCCACCCCACCTCGCAGTGAAGTACGCAGCACTTCGTCCGTCAATTGATGGTGGTGACCTCCCGAGCGCACATCAGTCGTGCGAGTTCATTCGCTCCTTCGACAACAGTTTGTGGCTGTTTTCAAGAACATGGCAGCCACATGACAAGTCAAGCGTTTGGGCAACCTTAATGATAGTGCATGGGACAGTGGACCATTCAGGCGTGTATGCCGAGCTAGGAGAGTTCTTGGCGATGCAGGGTGTGGCTGTATTTGCCTCCGACATGCGCGGTTGGGGACGAAGTGATGGCGAACCGCTATATGTGGACAGCATTGACTCCTTCATGGGCGACATTGTTTCTGACTACCAGCGTATTCATGCAGCAGGCTCCCCGTATGCAAAAGTCAGATCGCGTTTCCTTCTGGGCAAGAGCATTGGTGGTCTTTTTGCGGCATGGACAGCTGCTGAGCACGTTAGCAAGTGGACTGGTCTGATTGGGTTGTCAGGTGCTTTCCAGATTGATCCCTCTGTCAAGCCATCAGCTGTTGCCTTAATGTTCGTGAAAGCCATGGCCACCTGCGCTCCAAAAATGGGACTCAAGCCCCCATTCGACCCGAAGCTCATCGTGAGCGACACGGAGGCCCTGAGGGCTTGGGAGCGGGATCCTTTGGTCAGCCGCGGCAAGCTTCTTGGCTTTCCTTCTCGCTTTTCTTGTGGCTTTTTGTTGGCTTCTTGTTGTGGCTCAGGGGGCCCGAGCAGTATCGGTTACTTAGAGAGTACATCGATTAGTGCAGAGCACAGTCCTCGAGTCCTGGAGGCACCTAGAGATGTTGGGACATTGAGGGGGGCTAGCTGTGTGCAGGGTACGCATGCAAAGGGCCCCACTGCACCCTTTTCAGGCTCACTGCGGGCTACATCTGGGAGATGCTTCGACTTCAGGAAGAACTCCCAAGTCACATTGCTCCTCTGAGGATGCCAGTTCTGATGCTGTGGGGGACTGGTGACAAAGTTGTTACAGAAGCTGGGCACACCTTGGTCATGCAAGCATCGAAGTCTCCTGCCTCACAATTCTTACGCTATCCAAGCGGCTTTCACAACCTTCTGGCAGAGCCCAAGTTGAAAGAGAGCGTTATGCGAGATGTGTGCACCTGGATGCGACAGGTGTCGAGCTCAGCGTAGTATGACACGGTGTCGCAGATGGTGTCGCAGATGGCGTCGCAGATTTTCAGTGTGCTCATAGCTGGTGTAGCCACAAGCTATACCAGGAAGCAGCACATTGGTCCTTGCCAGAAGCAGCAGTCCACATCGGTGCTAGCTCCATTATTGCGCCCCCCTTTTTCAGGCTTTCCGAATCTGGTGCTTCAGTCCCCATAATGACATACTGTTGAGAGAGCTAAGTGGCTTCTGGCAATGGACATGGCTTTGCTGCAGTTTGCGGTGCGGATCTCGTACTGGCACTGCCTCCTACTTTCTGAAGTCCAGCCGGATTCTGTTGACACGCTCAACGAGAACAGCACTTTGCGGGCTTTCCCATTTGTGCCCAGTGCATAGAGGCTGGATGGTTTGTACAGACTCGGGCTCAGTTGGACATGATGCTCACACAGCTCGCACGCGTGCAAAGTCTTGAGTCTCTGCAGGGGAGGAGCATCTTACTGGGCTTGAAGAGAGCGTCTGTTGCATAGGCTTGCAGCGTCAACAGGTAGAGCAGACAAGCGCGAGACATGCAGGGCTTGCTGGGTAGAAAGTACCACACTCCTTCCATGCCAGCCTCTCGTCGCGTCTGCTGACACTGACGAGCCAGCAGAGGCCGGTGAAGGTGAAGGTACACAATGTCACAATGTGCCAGCTTCTCGACTTTCTGCATGTTTCCATGCTTCACACGCTTCCGTGCAGGCTCGCCAAGACTTTTGCGGAAAGATCTTTGTCGAGTTGTGGTCAGAGGACGGTCTCTGACAGCCGCTGTTAGCCGCCCATGTTGGCCCAACCAGACTCCACACGAGATGACGCGCTTGCAGCAAGCGCTTGCTTGCTGGCACTGCTGCTGCCTCTGAGAATGCCGTGCAGCAGGATCCTGATGGCTTTCCGATGCCGGACGGTTGCTACTACAGCGAGGACATGCAAAAATTCAGACTTGCTTACAACTGGCGCTTGTGCATACAACCACGTTGTTTCACTGGACGTAAGGGAGTGATGGCATGTGCCATGCAGGATAACACGGATCCAAGCATGATTGTGAAGCAGTCTGAACCTTACAGTGCCTTACAGTCATCCCCCATTTCTTGTAGGCAGTGCTAAACTTGCCGAGGCTGCACATTCTTTTCAGCGAGCGCAACCATTTGAAGAAAAACACCAGGCGCTTGAGCATATCCTGCTCATTCGACATCAGACTAGTACCTAGTACACCTGAGCTGTACTAGGTACATGGCTATCACCAACATGAACATCCTCGGGGAGCTTCCGCTGTCAGTTGGGGGAGCTCGGTACTCGCCCTCGATTCAAGACCTCGCGCGCAGGAGTTGAAGTTTGATTTTCCACCCAGTGGTGCCGTTTGGGTCTGGTCCATGGATGATGCCGGGATCTTGGATATGAGGTTGAAGCCACCAAAGAGCGAAGGAGCTGGCAGCAGAATGTTAGACTTTGTCGGCTCTGCCGGCTCTGTTCGAGTGGAGCCATGCCATCGGGGGAGTTCATGTCAGACCTTCACATGCTACCCAGTTTGGTAGTAGGGCCTGCTAAGAAGTAGGAAGCAGAAGTCACTGCAAACAGGCACAACCAGCAATTGAACCTGTAAAACCCCTTGGAGTCTCGGACGAGCGTGGCCAAGGGAAGCAAACAGGTCTCGACACGTGTGTTCAGCCCTGAAGTCGAAGTGTAAAGTTGCGAGGAACAAGCAACATGCGTAGCCTGGCTATGAACGGCTGAAACTCGGAAGACATCGCCGAAGTTCCATCCCACGGGTTTATTTGCTCAAGAGTCGGCAGCTTTCTCAGCAAGAACCTGTCCAAACCCAGCTGGACAATCTCGGCCACAAAGGACTTCAAACGAGGGAGAGCATCCCAGAACCAGGCAAGAATTCAAAAGAAGTATAAGTGTAGTCCAAGCGGATCCAGGGGGCCCAGTGGATTTTCGGAATCATGGATGAGCAGACCAGCGACATGCCAAGGCATTCAACAACCCGTTTGGTGTGATCGAGAAGGGTGCCGCCTTGCTTGCTCGTTTGGGTTTTGCTATCGCACATGCAGCATCTGAAGCCGCAATAGAAGGGAAGATGGGGAGCTATTTTCTTAGCCAGGCTTATCCGTCTCCAGAGACCCGAGTTCCGCCCAGAGACACGCTGGGAGCCCGCAGCTGAGAAGCGAAGGATACCGGACATAAAAAGGCACCTCAAACAGGCTTGGCCAGAGTTACCCTCTGTCTCAGGTACCGCAATTCAGCCAAGTGGGTGATCCTCGTGATGGCCTTAGGTTCGGGATATCATCGGTTGAAACCGTGCATCATGGAATGCGCGCAAGTATGCGCAAGTGCAGCATCATCAGCAGCTTTTTCGCAATGCTACTTCGTGACGGGCTCCACGCCCCATAATTTTGAGGCTTTCATGATGAGGGTACGCCTGCAACGGGATTCCGACTGCTTGGAACAAACGGAGCGCTAATTGAGGAGCGCGTGATATAACTGCAGCAATCGCACAGTGAGAAGCTTCGGAGCCTATTGCATCCCGCTTGCATCTCGTTTACTGTGTGCTGGTTTGCACGATTGTGGACTCCATGACACGTGCCGCAATGCAGGAGATGTTGACCTTCTGCATACCCCATGATGAGCAGTGGACCAAGCAATGGCTTGCCAGCATGTCAGGAATGCTCCAGAATCTCTTTGACCATCGAGCTGCAAGGAAGAATCCCAGCGTGTCACCCACCATAGACAACCAGTGCAAAGTCTGCTTCAGCGAAGAGGACATCTGACTGGAAGAAGCGCAGTGTAGTGCATGGCAAGATTTGTGTATGCATTGTTAAGTCGCAATTCCAAGTGTACTTTGGCACTGTGAGTAATTGCAGGAGTGCGGAAATGGTGGTAACGGCGTGCCGCCCGATCCATCACTGAGCCCGTGCCTTTTGTTGCCGTGCTTCCCAAAGGTCCGTGTGATGTGTCGGTACTTGCAACTTCGAGGCTTCTGCAGATCTCCGATTGACTTGAAGTGCCCGCAAGCGAATGGCAACTTGCTGAATGCCTGGGCCCAGGGACGTTTTTCAGTAGCGACATTTCGGGTCGCAACATCACCAGTAAGAGCTGGGCTTGCATGTTTTCATTGACCGTCCAACGCCCGAAAGCCAACCCCAAAGTGCGAAGGCTTGAAATCTGCGAAAGCCTACACTCGGATGCAAACGTGTTGCAACTAGGCTTCATGCTTGCCGCAGACGCTGCAATCGTATAGGCCCTCAAAACCAAAGCAGATCTTGTTATGTCGAAACCCGACTGAGGATTCTGTCCACACAACATACCAAACCTAAGCCAGCGCAACACAAATCACTTCAAGGCGCAACACAAATCACTTCAAGCATGGGGATCGTCAAAAACCAAGACCCCCTTGAAGTAATTGGACCCCTCGCTAGTTTGGATGCATCTCTGCTCGCTCCCTCCCACCACCACCTCGGGCGAGCATCCATGAAACCTGAACATGGAGCTTGCACAGTTTGCGATTTCGGGAAGCTCTCGGTCGCCGCTTGTGCTTGTTGCCGGTGCCAGCTTTTGGTACCTCACCGGTTGCTCTCCCATGCATGTTTGCTGGTGACCAAAGACAAGTCTTCGAACAGGCGCTGCTGATGAGAGACGAGTCTGTGCACGTTGGGGGGGAGGGTCGAATGCAGCCGCCCTTTGCTGTAAAGACCATTGTGCCCCTTTTCGAGACCGTTCACTGAAATCCACTATACGCCACGTTCGTCAAGGGGGTAAAGACTGGGTCAGTCCCGGCCATCGGGTGGTGGTACCTGTTTCTGTTCTTCCTTTTTGAAAAGAACACAGTTTCACTTCTTTGCAATACACAGGTGCGGGCATTTGCCTTCGAACTGAAGGCAAGACTTGGCTATCCGATCAAGCCGTGCCTGTGCTGAATTATTTAGGTTGCAGTTGGCTTCTCTCACATGATCAGTCATGAGCCAGCCCATTTCAATGAGGAACGAGCTTCATCAAGCCCCTGGAGTGTTAAGAGAGGGACCCTAAACCCTAAACCCTAAACCCTAAACCCTAAACCCTAAACCCTAAACCCTAAACCCTAAACCCTAAACCCTAAACCCTAAACCCTAAACCCTAAACCCTAAACCCTAAACCCTAAACCCCACACCCTAAACCCTAAACCCTAAGCCCTAAGCCCTAAACCCTAAACCCTAAACCCTAAACCCTGAATGCCAGGCAGTCCATACTCCGCCTCTGGCTGCATCCGCTGACTCAGTGGAACATCGGTCCATCCTGCCAGGCCTAGCACCCTAAACCCTAAACCCTAAACCCCAAACCCCAAACGCTAAACCCTAACCCTAAACCCTAAACCCTAAACATCCCTCAACCCTGATGGAGTGACTGAGCACATGCGGTAGAGGTGTTGAGGCCTTGAGTGCCGGTTTTCGTGTGCTGATGACCTCGATAGAAACGAAATCTCTGGCCTGTGCTCCACTGAACATGGCAAGGTGGGCTTCTTTGCCAACGCATGCACACCTCCAGCTGTTGGGGGAACTTGTCCGGCGCTCGACTCATCAGAAAGAATTAAGGGGCAGTCTGCTTCCGTATAAGGTTCCAGCCCTATCTGCCAGCCGGAGTCTGTGGTCGGTGGCCAGCATCCAAGATAGATGCAGCGGCACTCCAATCAAATGAACATTATATTATATTATATTAAAGTATATTATATTATATTTTAGTTTTATTATATTAGATTATATTATAAATAAAAACGTTCTTGCTGAGAACCAGAGAACCGACAAGGAACGGTGGTAGGCATTGCCTCCTGGCCGGTCAACACGTTGAAGCCTTTGCCTCGGTGTACATAGCGTCCGGAGCGCTGTAAAGCAATCTGAAGCGTGTGTGCATCCTGCACACACATGTCCTTGGCTGGCCCTCGATTCAGAAGCTTGTTCGGTGGATTCAGATATATCTGCTCATTGCTCATGAATCTGACAGGCCATGAACCACCCCTGATGCACTTCAGGAAGTCCCATGTAAGAACCCCACTAGGAGACTGGCCTTGTGAAGGGAGTGGGTGGAGCCTGGGAGTGTCCAAAGCCATTGCTGATCTTGACAAGGATCGTTCTGCCAAACATCATGGCTGACGTCACGAACTTGGTCCCGATGGCTATGGAGGCCCCAGTTTTGCCCCGGGGTCTCCTTTTTAGAAGGCCATCCAATCATTCTCTGCGCCAGATTGGAAACTTGCCGTTGCCCGCGGGCGGCTTCTTCCCATCAGTGGTCACCGCTGAGCTGCAGCCCTACCCTTCGGAGACGGTTCCGTGTGTGCTCAGGAGAGCTCAGCTTCGGCAGGGCTCATCAGAGAGCGCCAGAAGCACAGTCATGCATCATGTCAATGCTGCCAAGGATCACGAAAGATGACGGGTTTGCCCCTGACTATTGGGACATCCCAAAGGCACAAGCGCTGCATGTCGCTGATGTCGCTCATGGTAAAGCTGCGCAGCGCTGATGCTTCAGAGACCTGCTCTGGCAGGCCCTTGCAGTCGCAACGGTTCAGGGTGGAGGCTTTCGCCCAAGCAGATGCGCATGAGAAACATCTTCATCTGTGACGCTGCGTACCAAGGTGCACGCCTCTACAAGAAGCCGGAAATTCTGGCAGCAGCGCTTGTGTCAAAGGTCGGTGTCTCGCTTGTTTCGAAAAGATCTTGGTGGGCATTTGGTTGAACAGACGACGGGCCTAATGGGTGTGCCTCTGGGCTAAGGTTGGTGATGGGAACCAGGCACCTTTCAAGGGCGACACTGGCAACAGGAGTTGACCGCTGCTACCTGTCCACTGCGTGCTGTCTGCTACAGTGCTACAGCCTTTGCAGGATTTATGCACGCATAGCTTTCGGAACGACCTTTCATGGCTTTGGCAATTTGGTGACAGGCCTAGCTGTCGCCAAAGTGGCTGTAGTCGAGGTTGTGTGAGAAGCTTGGGTAGGGCCGGGTAGGGGCTATGACGGCATGGCCAAGGTCGAGATCCAGTTCAAGCTTCCAGTGGGTCCTGCTCATACACTCTCCAAGCAGGGTTGGGCGATGTATTGAAAGAAGCTTTCGATTTTTTCAGGTTATGCGTGCGCAATGAGCCAGCAGGGTGGCACCGCCCTGCGCCCGGATCAGTCTCACTACCTCAGAGACATAGCCGTCGCTTTCCAAAGCAGTGAAGAGCTGAGGTACCCGATTTGCAGCTTCTGGCAAGCAAGTTCCCATCCACAAAAGGTCGGTTGGCCCGGCTCTCAAGGGATTCTTCATTCACAGTTGGTGCCCGATGACAAACATATGCACGTTTAGCTGCCTTAGATCGCATCATTGCAGGGTGGCAAACTCACCGAAGTTCGATACCGCAACATCCCAGTTGAGAGCTTACGTGGCAGGCTGTAGCATGCATGCAATATGTCCACAGGCGGAACTGTCAGCAAATGCCCGGCTGCTTAGGCGACTCCCAATGTTATGTGTCAGCTCACTCTGCTGCAGGTCCGACTTCACTCTCACTTCGTGCTTTTGTGCCACAACTTGATGGTTCCTTGCCGCTGCCAGGACATGATCGTCTATGCCAGAAGCGTTTCTACCTTACATCACTGCTGACATAGAGTCATAGAGTACGGATGTGGAATTTTGGGACTTGTGAGACTTGCGCATGGCTAGGGAACAGAGTGCCGAGGTTTACTTCGTGGAGCTGGTTGTAGACAATCCATCTGCAGCTCTCAAGAGGGATGCGACTTGGCTTGGCCTAGTCAGCGAAACTTTCCGCGTGACAGCACCGCACGACACATACGAGGCAAGACAGACGACCCTTGACAGGATGAAACATCGCAAGGCATTGCCGAAAATGCAAGGTTCGTCAATAGCCCCTTGACCCCTATCGCTCCGATGTTGGTGGATGTACTCCCTTGACCAAGGGAGCAACAACAACTAAGAGACACTCTCGAAAGAAGCACAGCTGGCCGAAGAACTCTGCGCAAGCAGCAGCTCAGGACCCGACCAACATGTGGTCCGTGGGAGTTGTCCACAATGGCTTCAATCCAGCTGAAACCATCCAGGACGCAAGTTGTGTAAGATTGCAGCAGTTCCACTGGAGCCTCCGGGTGCTTGGTTGCGATATGGGGGTTTGCGATAGAAGGGGACCTCAAATACTAGGATACCCCTAATATCGTGAACCCCCATACGTCGCGATCCTCGAAATTTCCTCAAAAGTTGCTAGCCGTGTCAGCAGGACAAACTTTTGTCGACCCAGCAGCTGTCGTTCTGTCCTGCTCCACGAAGTACGTTGCTCTGCTTGCAGCTTCCTCGGAATGTGGAGGGTGACCACTCGATGTCGTGATGTGCAAGAAGCTGGGTGCATTGTAAGGGAAGATCTGGGGATGGACTATGCCGGCTCGATCTCGGTACTTGGAAAGCTGACAGACTTCTTCATCGCGCCATGCCCTTGGTTCGGCCCCGTTTGGGTTCCACACAGCTTTGTGCGATGACGCTTGGCAAGGCCATCCCAGTACGGTGTGGGACAGCTGAATACTCTGTCCGTTTTCTTCATGACGGAACAAGAGGCAGGGTGAGCAGTGGAACGGGGTGCACCCAGACACCCGAGCAACGGTGTATGGTAGGTAGGCTCATTGACCAGCGTGGAGACAGAGATCTGGGTGACCCAGCTTGCAATATGGACAGTTCTGTGCCAGGCTTCACCACATTTAACAGATGCTGAGTCTTGTGTTCCGATTTCGACTTGCTTGGTTTCGAGCCTTGTGTCAGTTTGTCAGTGGGAAGAATGGGGGGAATGTTGGAACATCAGCCCGCTTTGTTGAGGTTGATGCGCCATCTGGTTTTGATTTCGGTCAGCACCAGAGCTGCAGTTGAGGAAAAGCAGGCAGAAGCTGGTAAAGCACTTCCAAGCCCATGCGCTGCTATAATCTGCTACACACATGCCTCGCATCATGCTGCCTCTGAATCCCTGCATCCTGGCCAGAAAAGGCTCGGGTAGGCTTCAAGGACGAAGTTGCAGGGAACATCAGCTCTCAGGTATTGCTCAGTCTCCACGCTTGATCCCATCTACTACATTCCTGAAGGTCGTGGCACTGTCCCAAACTCAGTCAAACTCGGTTGCTTGCCTCCATCTTATCGTTGAATCCCCTGACCAGTCGCCACTTCCAACCGGACAGCTCATTCCCTGTGTGGGAGCGCCAACTTCGTTGGGGCCCCAATGCATTACAATTTTGAGCAAGGTGAGTCCCAAACCCTAAACCCTAAACCCTAAACCCTAAACCCTAAACCCTAAACCCTAAACCCTAAACCCTAAACCCTAAACCCTAAACCCTAAACCCTAAACCCTAAAAACCCTAAACCCTAAACCCTAAACCCTAAACCCTAAACCCTAAACCCTAAACCCTAAACCCTAAACCCAAAAAACCCTAAACCCTAAACCCTAACCCTAAACCCTAAACCCTAACCCTAAACCCTAAACCCTAAACCCTAAACCCTAAACCCTAAACCCTAAACCCTAAACCCTAAACCCTAAACCCTAAACCCTAAACCCTAAACCAAACCCTAAACCCTAAACCCTAAACCCTAAACCCTAAACCCCAAACAGGGATTCGGAGCTGACCTACAACCGCGCCAAGATCTCGACCACCGGCCGGCTGTTGAGGTGAAGCATGTTGCTGTTACATGGGGGCTTCCGAAGTTATGGGGACCCTTTTTTGGGTCCTTGTTATAAGTTACAAGGGAATCCTACTATTTGGGGTCTATATTTGGGGTCCCTTATACGGAAACCCGCACCTGGCAATGTATGGCAAAGGCATGTTCACCCCTGCGAGGGCGACCTTCTATGGTTTTGGCGTCCAAGTCAAAAATGCTGACATCTACGTCCGAACTCAGCTCAACGAGTGGTCCGCGACTTAAGTGTCAAGAGAACAAGCCTCAGCGACACAGGCACTGAGCAAGTTAGTGCCCAGGCGTCTCTGGACCTACGTGAAGGCCACCGGCTATGGAGTTGATGGTACCTATGAGACAGCTCGGGTCAACGAGCGTGTGCTACTCTCAGTGGTGCTTCTTCCTTCTTCCTGTAATTCGAGAGATCACAACAGCCATTGAGACTCGCTCGAGGTGCCAGCGGGACCAGACACCAGCTGGGGCATGTACCTCCAGAGCATGCCGCTTGAGCTGCGAGCTTAGGCAATGAGACCTCGGCTCAGTGAACACTGCAAGCAAGGGTCGATTACACACCCTAACTCGCCCCCAGGAACTTTCAAGTGGCCTTCTCCACATCGCGACCCACGGTGTCAGGGGAGCTGGACTTGGATAACACTCGTGGCATGGAGGGATAGCACAACATTGCGGAAGACGTCATGTAGCTGGAAGGTTCCTCCCGCTGACATCACCGTCCTTCCCATCATCGTTACGTTTCCCACGACCCGGGCCGTGAAGCTGAGATGGGGAACGAAGCAAGAGGGAGACCTCGACAGAATATGGGAGATTGATGGAGATTGCAAACAGAAAGCAACATAGTATGATCATAAGCATGACATAGTGTGTCCTATGCATCCCCGAGGCCATCCGAGTCACGGCACCTGCGGGCTACGAGTGGGACTTTGAGCAGGTGGACTTCCGGCCAGGGCCCTGTTGCATGCCGTGCATGGCGTGCTGTTACAGGGGTTATGTCGTATTATGTCCTGTCAGGTACCAAGCCCCAGGTGTGGGAGTGAATCCGCTCAATGTGGTGGATGGTGCAGAGGCTTCCTGTTGTCGAATGGAGGTTGTTGGAGTTTCTTGGAGTGTGTCGACCATTGATCCATTCATTGTTCCCAGGCTGACATTCCAATCAGCGGTAAGCCCGCACGTCCCAACTCAGAGCCGAAGAACGTGCGCGCCTGACCAAACAGCCAGTACGCGCGTGGAGTGTGGCGAGCCGTTGTGCTTGAAGCCACGCCTGCGACTAAACTCATTCGCAGGTCCTAACGATGGCCAATCTGTCCTGGTTCAAGACGGTCGTATTTGCACGCTGGCAAATAACCAATATGACGTGCCAGGACTATATGCAGTTGGCGTGGACGCCCCGAGCTGAAGCCAAATTCAGCTCTTGCAGCGCATCGCCGAAGGGCAGGCCATTGTCAGACAGCATATAAGAGCCGCATCTGCAGGCCTGGCGTGAAGTATGGCTTCGCCTGCAAGATCCGGATTCCTATGGCCGGGCAGCAAAACGAATTCCTGCGACGGCTACGAGTGCAATGAGTGCAGAAATGCGGGTGGTTTGAAGAGGTTCCTCCGACTGGCTCAGCCAACCAGTTCACCATTGAGTTTGGATATAACGAGGCTCGTGCCCTTCTTGCACTCATAGCCTTTCACAACGTCTTCTTGCTACTTGTTGAATGATGTGTGAACTTCCTGCAGGACCTCCTTGCAAACCGCTTGGAGGCAGGCACAGCTGACGCGCCCGTCGTCCAGCGTCTCATCAATGGCGCCGGTGTCCTACAGCTTGTGTAAAGGTGTGTGTGTGTGTGTGTGTGTGTGCCCGTGCGGTTGCCGGTCGCGCATTTCTATGAGCAACACATGCTGAGTGCATCGTCCTGGTTCCCGACGACGCACGACATGACATCAGCGACGATCAGTGACGTGCAGCCTGAGGAAATCACCTACACAACAAGCATTATGGATTTGACGGTCGACATCACCTTTGCTTTGGAAACCATCACGTATCATGCTCAGCTTTCCTTTCAGAGAGACGAAGCTGCTTTTTATCGTTGGAAGCCACAGCACATCCGAACAGCGGAAAAGGACCATCCCGGAAGGCGGAGGGCTTGTGATCATCGGGTCGAGCCTTCGGTCCATGATGCATGACAGTTCGCCCTCTGGGAGAGAGGAGGCGGAGACTTTTTGTCTTTTTCACGCTAAGGCCTCCGAACTTCCTCTTCCAGCAGTATTGCCAGCCCAAGCCTGCCACGAGCTTCCCGGAGCGGATGCGAAGCGTTGTACTACTGTTGTACTGCTAGTTCGGATGACCATTCGCGAAGGGAAATTCCAGCGTACATTGGACAGGAGCTGCCATATGACTCGACCTGTCTGTATTCTCAAATCACGGCTACTGGTCAGCCAAGGGCACCCCGGATGCAAGAAGATGCCAGAACGAAGGGTCTCTCGCATGTCCCCCGTAAGGGCGCCCCAAGCTCATGCGTTGTTCCAGATGCGTTGCCTGCAATGTGATCTTCGCAATTCCAAAGCAGCCAAGATCTCCATCATTGCTGGTCCGCAAGGGATTCCTGGCATGTACTACAAGTTGCTTGGTGGGCCATATTATGCTGCTCGTAGGAATCGGCAGACACGGCTGTCAAGTCTTCTGGGGTGCTCCACCTAAGGTTCTCCCTGGCGGCACGCAACCCTCCACAGGCCCGACCCCTTCGTTCTGCCACTGTCACGGGCAACGCATGGCAACGCCAAAAACCAAGTGAAGGCCCAAGAGATAGAGATAAACTGCGCCCGGGCATGAGGCAGTTGCCCTGGTAGATGCTGGCGTGTGGACGCTGCTGTCGTACAGCCTGGTGCAAGCCTTATCTTCTTTGCCCAGTAGAGGGGGCTCTGCTTGTCTTGCTTTTGCAAGTGCATCTTGACAAAGCACCCTGTGCCTCAGATCAGCGAAGAGATTGTGCTGGACCAGAACACGACCATTCCAGGCTATGCGGTGGCACGGCCCATGGTTACGCTCTTACAGAGGGACTGGGAAGTGGTGTCCCATGTGTGTCTTGATACTGACTCTTCTGCTCAGGTGTCAGCGTCGCTGGTCATGCATCCCCGCGTTGACTGTACATTCACCACGCTGGAGGATTGTCTAGCTTCATCTGAGAAACAGGTCGCAGCCTGCACTTATCGCGCTTAATCAGGAGCGAGCCATTGATGCAACGCTGCCGGAGACGTTCTGTGACTTCGAGCATTGGCAGTTCTATCCTCCGAGGCTCGAACTGACGTTTGAGCGATCCATTCAAATATGGACACATCTTCGGCAAAGTCAAGAAGCTCAGAGAGAGATAGTTCACGGAAGTAATGTTCAAGCAAGTGGGGCTGCCAGGGGATATCGCGACGACCGACCAAATAGCGAGCCGCCCAGACGATTGTCGGCTGTCTTCATCTGGCTAGGAAGTGGATCTGTGCAGGGCAAGAATCTGTCAGGACCGACACAGCTCATCTTCAAGATGCAGCCAGACCCTCAATGCCACAACGTGCAGCATTTGTCTCTCAGCTATTTTGCGCCAATTGCTGAGACGTGAGGCTGGGAGCACAAGTTCAAGACACGGGTGTGCTGACAGTTCGGGTGCGCTGCGGCCAATCTGCCTGCTGCATTTCTCTGCATTGTGAAATCGACACTGCAGACATCTGCATCTAGCAATGTCGAAGTGCGCCAACAGGCACCCGACGGCTATGTCTTTGATGCTGAGTGCCGTCACCTGCTCAAGCGATCAGGACCAGCATGGATCCACGACAATCTTCGGTCGCTGCCAAGGTGTGGTCACCAAACCCTCCTCGCGAATTTTCAACGACTCGGCAGTGGCTCTGGCTTTGTTAAATGCGGAGCATGGAGCTAGAGCGGCTCCTATTTTCGGCATCAGCTTCGGCTAGCAGGTATTAGGCGTCCTGGTAGGGTGGCTTGCAGCTACCCGATCCAGAAATGAACTCTACCTGCCTTCTCACTTTGGGTTTGACGTCGATGTTGAAGCTGGTTTCACACTGAAGGCTGCAACCCTTTCCTGTGTGATACAGACTTGCCCGCCCCAAGAATCCCGCTGAGAATCCCACAGAGTGCCTCCAACGAACCCTACAGGAAGAATCCTAGGGAGCCCAACCACAGGAGCCCAACCAGAGAATCCCATCGAGCATATCTGCGGCCCTAGATATCCCGACACCGCATCCCACACAGTATCCTTGGAATCCCCAGTTGTCCAATCCAAATGACCCTACTGTCAGTTGCTTCGTTTTAGGGTGTGGATGTTCGAAGGAACATCAACTATCTTGGCACTTTTTGTTATCTGCTTTTCTCAGGTTTTCTTAGCTCTTGGAGCGTCTTTCACGCATCTCTTGGCAAAGTCATGAAAGTTTTGGGGCCCAAAACGTGAAGCGATTTCGTCGCTTGACTGGTGGCCCGAAGTCTCTGCGATCCAAAGGCGCATATTGAGGGCACTCAAGCCAGAGCAATGTTGTTCGGTAGATTTCGGTTGTGAGAGGTAGTTAGGAATGCAGTTGTTTGTGTCGGCTGTTGTCGTGTCGTTGGCATGGGGATTCTTTGTGCGGTTGTATGTCAGTGAAGGAAGTCATTTGAAGTCCTTGTACTCCCTGCGTGAATCATGCTTCAGCCGCATCTTTGCATCCGGACTTAGGTGGACGGAACGTTGCCTGCTGTGTTCCGTTCCAAGAGTTACAATTGATTTCGGCTGCCTTTCTGCCTACGCCTTGGGCCGAGGCCGAACAACGTCCCTCTTGATCCAGGACTTCCTTACACAGCACGCCTCTAGAAGGTTGTGAGTGTACGTTGCAGAATTCTGCGGGACGCATCAGCTCGCAGCTGATTTTGCGCCTGGTGCAAGGTCCGAGGGTATGCTCAGCGATACAAGTTGGCTGCTGAGCATAAACGCTAAGTGAAGCCCGTTTCTTCCCCAGCTATGGGTCAATTGGTGCGGGAGTGCTTCGTTGGCTTCGCGTGTCTGTTGACTCAGTACCTGGCCGGATGCTGTCGACACACTGAGCTGCCTTGGTCGCGGGAATGAGGCGCAGTCAGACCAGTAACTGACGTCCTCGTTGTGCTGGGATGTTCTGGGATGTGCTGGGTAGTATCCCCTTTGCGAGGCTCGAATTACGTTCACGGCAGGTCCAGAGCCAAGTCCACTCCTATGTAGGCGCTGTGTTCCCTGTATGGCTTGTAATCTAGATGCTCGGGTTTGTACGTACGTAGACCTACTGCGAGATCTTCATGAAACCGACTTCCGTGTTGTGAAAAATGCAGTTTTTCAGAAGACACGTCGGCACACAGAGCCCACAGCTAGATTAGTCGCTGCCGTCTTGAAGGCACAAGTGTCAACTTGCATAGGATGCAAGATCTGGCCAGACCCGCTGTTTCAACATTTGGGTGCCACAAGACATTGCAAGATCCGATTCCAGCTCGTGCACGGGGCATGCAGGGGGACAGGGTGACTTTGACAAGAAGTTGAGCAATGGTGAGCAATGCTTCAAGCTTCCGCAAATTTTGTGCAGCATGTGGCTTCCGCTTCAGAATAAGGCCTGGCTCTCTTCAACACCTACCTGTCCATGGCTTGGAGAAGATGGTTGTGAGAGAAGTGAGAAGCACAGATACACTCTCATGCTTGGATGGCTCCAAGGTTTCGGCTTTCTGTGCTGCAGAATCCGCCTGTGACTCCCGTGCCGGGCTTGGGAGAAGTAAACCATGGAAGAAGCCAACTACCCAACGAAATAGTTGCCTTCGCTTGCCTTCATGCAGGAGTATAACTACTTCCTGTTGGAGTACAACGGCGAGGTTTGATGTGGCCTGCCAGGTTGTGCGCTTCTTGACGTGTCACTCTTGTGCTGCAGGCATCGCTGCCCTTCCCCGGAATAGATATTTGGGTCGGTTCCTTGATTGTGGGTCGCGAAGAAGCAAGTCGCCAGCCAAGACCCACGCTGAGGCGTTTGGCAACACGACCATCGTCCCTACCACCACAGCTGCATCTCGTGCAGACTACTCGACATCCAACGAGGCTTTCATGTTGTTTCCATCTTTCTCGCGCTTTGTGTTCACATTTTCGGGACAGATGCACGGCGGGAATGATGCCAAGATGTAAGATGCATTTAGACATGGAGCCTCGATGTGCTCATTGGAGTGAGTGCTGATGAGCGAGAGGGGCAGCTACTCAGCACAGTTTTGGTGAAACACGCACCCTGTGTGGCTCCGTATGAGATTGGGAAACGTTGTCCGTTTTCGGTACTTTCCCGGTGTCCATCTACTGTCGCGACTATGTCGGAATGCAACGAATGTGGACCTGATTCTTGCACCTCGGGGGCACCATGCCGAATCAGATCGAGCGCTCCCCACCGGTCACAGCGAACATCGGTCGCTCCAGCTCACTGCAGCAAATTCCATCCTCATTTCCAGGACGGCGTGTGCTTGCGGGATCGTTGCTCCCCCTCCCCCTCCCCTCCAAGCACTGGAGAGTCGGAACTTTGCCATCCCACTATCCATCCGGGGCCTGTTGGTTGGAGGCATCCAGTACAAGGCAACGTCCGGCTTCACAGTCCACCCTTTGGTGGGGATCGACCCAGCCACCGGCAACCGAACAAGTCGGCCTGGGCTCCACGCCTCCACGCCTTCCCGCCAAGGCGAAGCAGGGGACCCAGCCGAGACGCCCAAACCCAAAGGACCTCCGAACAGCCTGCCGAAGATTGCCGAAGTCCAAGCACAATCGAAAGGTCCAGATGTGGAGATTGCAGGCGACCCGTAACTTGCCTCGTCAGCTGCCGCCGCCTGACGTGCAAGGAAGACCCTTGGTTGAACCAGCCGGCAAACTCCACCGCCTCGAGCACGCAAATGACATTCCTGACTTCGGAAATATTTTCCTTGTGGCCCAACCCTCGTGGCGTGGCCGGGCCCTCCCGTCGCTACTCGGCTCTGCCAACTTTACCTCGTCTGGCTTCTCGGAGGCGGTTTCTGGACATGCCCACCTACATGGTTCCTCGGCAAGCCTCTGACGGCTTTTGGACCCACATCCCATCGGATACGGACGTGTGCCGTGCTGCCAACTTCCCTCGCCTTCGCCCCATGTTTGGCTTCCATGGACCGGTCGTCAGAATTTTGTCCTCTTTCCTGGCTACTGCGCCGCACCAGGTGACCGGGCAACTTTTCGAACCGATCGTTTACGCGTAACGCCCCTTGGGACATGGGCTCGTCCGTCCTTGTGGCCATGGAGCTTGGCTCGGACTACTCTTTTTGATCATGGACATGACAGTTTTGGTTTCGGTCAACCAGCACTGCATGTGTCGAAACATCCACTGCCGGCATCGTTTCCCGGTGTTGAATCTGTCAAATTTCGACAGAGTACCTATCGCCCACCGAAGCACGTGTGCCACTGCCGGCGCTGTCTCCAGCGGTGCAGCGGGAAACGTACGACCGCACCTTTGGGCATTCTAGTACCCATTGATTTGTGGGACATAGCAGTTGGTTGTTTGGAGGTGACAATTCAGCTTCGCCCAGTGAACGTGGTACCAAATGGAGGTCATTTGAGGCAGGGATGTTGACAGTGTGTGTTGTTTCCTGGCCATACCGCCTTGTTGGTGAGACGGCCCTGGCCTAGGGTGACAGCTCCCAGCGGCTTCCTCGTACCAACGGCTTGCATCATGACGCTGAATCTTGGAGAAGCATTTGTGTACTGCAAGCAGCTACTATAAGTACTTGTGAAGTGGTGCGGCGCGATTCTTATGTCAACCCCTGATGACTTGCTTTGGTCCGAGGAGGGTGCACGAGTCGGAAATGTGCCCTGTCTTGCAATTGCGCCGTGTAGCTGCGAGAGAATCCGGCATGCAGAAGCGCTGGAATGGGAGCCGTTGCCATTGAAAGGCCCAACATCTCAGCATATGCTCCGGGCCCTGAACGAGCAGGGTGCCGAGATTTGCCGAGTGAGTCGAGCTCCGTTGCTTTCCTGATATGGCAAGGCCCAGCTGTTGCTATGGGCCGAGTTCTTGCCCCTTGGCCCTTAGATGTCACAGATACATCAGGTCGAGTGTTGATTCGTGTTGTGTCTTAATGGGCATGCGTGAGGAACGTTGAAACTACAGTCCAAGGCCCTCTCACTTGGTCTGCCAGGGTGACCAAACGCCATCTAGCCGCGGCAGGCCGAGAGATGCACGGAGGTCTGTAACTACGAAACGCAGCCCTCGCATAGACTGTACATCAAGAAGTACAGTTTGATCACTTTATGCTGTCCGGAGGCTGCAGCTGACACAAGAGGGCAAGTACATGAAGAAGGGGGTGCTGTACGTGATGACGCTTCAGGTGCATTGTTTCTTACAGGGGTGTTTGCAATGACCTGCACGGTGTGAAGTTCAGGTCTCCAATCCGCAGACGACTTCAGCAGTCCCTGAAGATTGGCACGTGCAATCGTACGAAGACTTGCCCCTGTCTCAGCCAGTACATGACTGTTGCTGAGGCTCTCTGTTCTGACATCCAGCAAGGACCGTCAACAACATTATCGACGAGAGCTACATCCCCGGATTTATCATCAATACCGCTGTCCAGGAGCCGATGCGCCGAAGCACTCGAATCGAGCGCAGTCCACGAAGTGTCCCCACAAGCACGCGCCGCGCAGTTTGGCAATCGAGCGCTTTGACATTTTTGCATCCTGCCAGTCGTTTGCCTACCTGGCCCCCGAGTCCACCAACGCCCTGATCAAGCAAAGGCCAGCCAAGCATTCCCAAAGTACCCCAAAGCGTCCCAAAGCGTCCCAAAGCGTCCCAAAGCACCCCAAAGCATCCCAACGCCGCAATGGTGACGAAGCATGAGTTGCGACATAAGGTGTTTCTCAGTTGGATGATTGACATGTGAACATGATATTTGGTGCAGTGTCCTTGCTCACTCCCCCTGCCCACTCTCCTTGCCATCCCCCCTCCCTCCCCTGGCCCGAAACGTGGGGGGCCACGCCCGCACCTAACTGTGGATGATAGGGGAGGTAGGTGAGAGCTGGGGAGTCGTTAGTGCACCTACTCCCTACAAAGTGTAAAGGGTGCAGTGGCAATTTGGGTTTGTGGCCATCGAGTGCCACTCTCATTTTTGTTCCAATCCCCAAAACCTTGAGCTCACTGGGGCGATCACACAGAAAAGTTCCGTCAGGTTGGACTTCAACATGTCGTTCCCAGGCATTGCTGCTTCGACCTCATGGGGTTGCAGCCATTCAGTTTGCATGACCTTTTTGGGGGATTTGCTGCTTTCATGGGCCCCAAAGGCGATTGGGGACCGGATTCAGATCGTGGCCCCTGTGTCGTACATGTTCAGCGAACCTGGTGATCGCCAACAGCTCGGTATCCATGTACCTGCATGGCCTTGTGAGCGCCATCCGGCCAGACCGTTCCTGATGAGGCCGGTGCCCCCAGTATATCTTCCTGGATGGTGCAATGACCAAAACGATACCAAGCTGCAGTACGGAGACCCAGTCAAGAATTAGACATTGACCTTTTGTTCCCCTTGAGCACAACGAGGTGTATCTAGCAATTTCACGCAGGTGCTAACACGATCAATTGGCACCTCATGGACGAGCCGACTTCTCGGGACGGGATGCCTTAGCAGTTGGGAAACACATTGCAGCCGCCTCGCTCCGTGCAGCCATTTCCAGCGTTCTGAGCACAGACAGAGTCTTACTTATGCTTGCGGGGCACTCGCGCAGATGCTCCGCATGGCAAGTGTGGAGCCTAGCGGGTGCCAAAGTCATGACACTGTTTTTGCGAAACTGGAAAGTGGTACAAGCATCGGCATGTATGGCTGGAGTTGATGAGGTATATCCCGTGTTTGACCGTGCCTCGGACAGCAACTCGGCAGCGCCACCAAGGCTTAATAGAGCTGGAACTGCCATGTATTTCCAAGTTGCAGACGTGCAGCTTGATCGTTTAGGCCAGCGTAGACCCCCAACAGTGAGAGACCATGCGAGCCCGCATGTGCACAAGCGACGACAGTTTCGCAAGATGTACAACAGTGTGCCCACACGTCCACTACTGGCCCGGACGAGAGCTCGGTTTTTGTTCAAAAAGCCAACAGGCTTCCAGCAAACCCGCTGTCCGCCTGGCGCATCACGTGCCTGAATCGACCTAGCCACTCTTTGCCCTGGACTTTCGAACCGTTGACATCCTGTTTGGGGAACATACATGTATGTGTATGTATATAGGAATACACACACACACACACACACATTTTCTGGAAATGTTATGTCTAGGGGGCCTAGGCTGGCACATCTGCCCAGGTCCGCCAAGATCCGCCAAGACGGGAGATGTGTCGTTGTTGACAGGAGGGGCCAGCCCAAAGACAGGTGGGTGCTTCCTGTTGAGTTCGCTCTCGTGTGTGCTCTCTCAACATCATCGCTGCCGGGCAGCTTGGCCGTCTTTTTTTGTTTTTTTGTCTCAGCTTGCAAATTGGCAGTGTGCAGCTTTGGCTTTGGAGCACGCTGAGCTTGTTCGTGTCAGGTTACCTGCCGCAGCGGGCTGGTCAATGGTACCACATGGTGGGAATCCATGCGCCTCTCGACTGCCATTACGTGTCAGGAAGTCGCTGCCTGCCAACATGCGCTTGTATACTAAAAGCAGGTCGCAGGATCAATGCCAACTTCTTTTTGCTGGGAATGCTTCTGGCGGTGATCTTGGCACGGACCGCGCCAAGTCTAGCAATGAACGGGGGCGTGCTGCACGTGGATGTCATGAGAGCTTCAGTTGCAAGTTCAGATCTAGGCGTGAGTTTCGAAGTCTTGGACAATTCATAATGTGGTTGATTGTGTGATACTGCGTGAGTAATCTCGGGTGACTCACATTTGATAGAAGGTGACTCAGCCGTTGCTGTCATTTTCCTCTTGTCTGGCTTCAGCCTGAAGTTGAGTGAGATGCAAGCAGCCGCGTTGGACTTCCGGCTGAACCTGATTACACAGATGTTTCTCGCCTGCCTCTCTCACACCAGTCATTGTTTGGCTTCACCCGAGCAGATGCAGCAGTTTTGTTTGCTTCCTGTTTATTGTTTGACCGCCAGAAGAGTGACCAAGGCTGTCCATGGGAGCGTCGCCAGGCTGTTCAAGTTGCACTCTTTGATGGGCCGAAACTCTCTGACAAGCATTCGAGGCCATCTGAGCCATCTGAGGATACCACTGCTGGCCTATCCGCTGGTGCAACTTGCTCACCGTAGCCAGTGGCTCGATGGACAACTGCTCGATGGTCTAATGATCACGGCTCTTCAGTAGCAAAGCAGGGCAGGTTTGGTTTCATATGTGAGGCTTAGAGCAATCCGGATGCAATCCGATATCGAGCCGAGGCTTGCTTGCCGACGACGGTGAACATGTGCAGCAGCTGCAAAAGATTGCAAGAGATGAGAATGAGACACTGGGAAGATCACAGCATATCATGAGCCAGACACATGCGGAGCCTTGCAAAGAGCTTTGCGCAGCGGAGGTGCATTCTCTTGGCCAAGTCAGCAGGACACTTGGGAGTCAAAGACAATTGGCCAGCGCGGCTGTGTGTGGCATTCCCCACCCTATTTTTGCGGGTACGGTGCTTCGTGTGCATGTGTCTTTGTACGAGTCCATCTTGCTGCAATCCAGTGCTGAGCATGAGGAGCCAACACGGCTGTTGCCCTGACCAACGCAATCCTTGGAAACCTATTGGGCGGCTTGGATCATGCTTAGTGAATGTGGGACATACGATCTCTGTGATCTCTCTTCGAAGGCGTCTTCGTGACCCCGGCCTTGCTGCTGATCACGCTTGGCACCAGAGCATCTTGGGTGCAGTAGACGGGTAGGCCATCATCGAAGGCGTGTCACCGTGAAGTGACGTGAAGGTGCGGAAGTCAAGCCTTGCCAATTACTAAGACCAGTATTCAGCTTGGACCCGCCGTTCAGAAGCTGGGCATGAAGGCCTCGAGGCAACAAGCAGCGTAAGTGTGCCCCCAGTTTGGGCTGAGAATAGAGAGCCATGAAGAGACACCAGCCTGGCGCAGGTGCTCGTGCCGGTCGTCTTTGGCCAGTTGCTTCGACGCCCCCGCGCCTTGCGCTTTCATGCCAAGAACGGCGCTTTCTTCAAGAAGCTTTCGGCTGCGAAGCTGCAACTGCTTGCGCAGACGTGAACGGCATGGCCTGGCATTGGCTGAAATGACCTTGCACGGCTCTGTCTCTCCATGCAACCGCGATGTCCAGCTTGCCAAGGAGTCCCTCTTGCTTCTGATTGTATGGAATGCCTTCAGCAATGCCTTCGCAGCTGGCCTTGGGTGGCCCCGCTGACATTAGCCTCATGACCAACACGCCTGTGTGCATCGGTCATGTGCTCAGCTCATTGTTTCCAGGGTCGGTGGGAAAGAGCTGGTCCTCTTGGCTGTGCTCATGCCATTGTTGCACTTCACAGCGTTGCTGGGCTTTAAGAAGACCCTGGGCGATGATTATTCAGACAGCTCATCCAAGGCTCTGCCCCAGCCCTGAAGAATGGATAGGGACGGTGTTGCGCCCCTAAGCCCCAAGCCCTAAACACTAAACCCCAAACCCTAAATCCTATAACCACAAAACCCTAAACCATAAACCTTAAAACCCTAAAACCCTAAAACCCTAAACCCTAAACCCTAAACCCTGACACCCTACACCGAAAACCTGACCACTTACAAGCAATGGTTTTGCCTGCAAGGATCTTGACCTGGCCCCGCATTGGGATCGATCCGAAGGATGCTGTCGCGGCTTCCTATGTGGCACCGGGGACTCGAATTTGTTGAAAAAATTGGGGCGCATCTTCAACAGACACAAGGCTGGGTTCTGGAGCAATCAGTCTTTGATTTGAGGCTTCTCAGAAAACCCTTGCCTTCGGATTGCCGCTGATCAAGACACTATTTGAAGGCAGTTTGTGCCTCAGTTCCTGTGGTGGATGGTGTGTTTGCTTTGCTAGCTGCCTCTGCTTGTGCCCATTATCCCTGGGATCCTTTGCCTGACCTTGAGGCACAGGCCTCGCCTACTTCTGTGCGCCGATCATGTTTCTCCATCCAATGCAGCTGAACCTTGCCTAGCTGGGATCTGACCACATCTGATCGTCTTCAGGCCGTTGACACTGTTCCCTTCAGTCCCTCAGTCTTGGCGCCGAGGATGATCGGCGCTGCGATGCTTCCCTACTTCAAGCAGTACCTGGGCCAAGAGCAGATGCCTGACGAAAACCGCTGAGATGAGGGAAAAAAGGGTGAGCCGTTGCAATGCCCTTACTGTCCTTGTCACGCCAGTACCATGATGTGGACATATGTGGTTTTATCAGGGAGCTTCTTTTGTATGCTCTGTTCAGGTCCATCCCAGCTCTGAGCCCTGTTCGCTTCATGGTCCAAGTCCAGCGGGCAAGTCGCGTTTGAGACAGTTTGTGTGCATCGCTTTGCATGTAATTGCGTGTTTTTCACCCTGACAGTCCATCGCCAGGAATCCCCCTCGAACACCGACCATTAACCTGTTCCAAGTACGCCAGCTGGATGCCAATGGAACTTTGAAGTGCGTAGCTCACTGGGGTTATGGGTTCTCATGCATCCGTTAGTGCTGTCAGCATTTTTGTGGTGAATTCTTTTTGCGCTGTTGCAGTGCAAGGTCTTCTCGAATGATCACGGGCTACGAGATTGTTCCAGAGCTTGTCAGCCCTATGGTGATGCAGGCAGACAGGAAACAGAGAGACAGAGAGACAGAGAGATAGAGAGACAGAGAGAGAGAGAGAGAGACAGAGAGAGAGAGAGAGAGAGAGAGAGCGAGCGAGAGAGTTTTTGCGTGTTTTTTGCGCTCTGGCGACTGGCAGGCCCCGGCCATTTTCCCTTGCCGCATCGACGTGAACTTGGTAACTGGCTTGCCCGGATCTGAATGTCCATTGCTGCGCCTTGAACAAGATTCTGCTCACGCCACCCTGCTGTCTTCTTTGTCACTTATTTCCCCTAGGCTACAGCTTCGCTTCCGTGTTTTTTAGATAGATAGACATATATATATATATATATATATATATATATAAGCTAACCCCCCCCCCCCGAAGACCAACCCCGACAGAAAAGCTATAGGCATTTTTTTGTACGTTTGTCTTCTAGGGAGATGCAACTCTGGACAGGTATGACGAAGGAATAAGGCGTGTTACATGCAATATCCTGTGATATTTAATACTCCCGGACTCGAAAAGCTTGTAGGAAGCCTCAGTGTTTAAGATTTTCGATGTGTGAGCCGTGACGAATTAGTATACAAGAGTGAGCTGCTTCCCCGAAATGCCTATGTTTGTAGGTGTTGCCTCCTATGGAAACACAAAGAAAAGGTAGACAACAACTACCCACCTTATTGTTGTATATAGGGTAATATCCACAGATAAACGACAAGAAAGGATGTACAGATAATTGAGAAGAAAGGATGCTAATCCTCAAGCCATAAGACAAAGAAGTATTCCAGGGCATGGAATTGCAAAAAATGCAAAACCATGGGACACGATGACCCGGGCACAGGGAACTAGTCTCCCAGTTGTGTTTTGTTTGTTTTTTTGGGTTTAGGTTTTTGTTGCTACAAAAACTCACTCAAAAACAAAAACCAAAAAACAACAGTTTGGGACGCTATGACCCGGACCCGGGGACTAGTCTTTCAGTTTTTTGTTTGTTTTTTTAGTTGTTGTTTTTTGTGATGAACCAAACAGATAAAAGCTCTACAAAAAGCCGGAAAACACCAACAAAACCCACAAGAAATGTATTAGAGCCAACATTTTGGGAGACTAGCACACTGTCTGTGGGGCACCGTCTCCGCAATTCCCCAAAAAACCAAATAAATATAACAAAAAGCAAAAAAACAATCAACAAAAAACAAGAAAACAAAAAAACAAAAATCTGGGAGACTCTGACCCGGACCCACGGGACTAGTCTCCCATTTTATTTATTATTTATTTATTTATTTATTTATTTATTGTTTTTGTGCGTTTTCGGCGAGACTGGAGACGGAACCAAACAAACTCCCCGCAAACAAAAACAACCAAAAACAACAAAAACAAACCAAAACACAAAAGCAACACAAAAGCCAAAAATGCACGAACAAACCCAAAAGCAAAACAACAGCAAAAATGCCAAAAACACATAACAAACCAAGAACATAAAACAGCAAAACACTTTGGGAGACTAGTCCCCTGGGTCCGGCTCATAGTCTCCCATTTGTTGTTTTTTTTTCGTTTTTTGGGCGGTTGCAGAGATTGTGCCCCGCAGGCAGTGCGCTAGTCTCCCAAACTGTTGGTTCTAGTTTGTTTGTTTTTTTGTTTTGTGGGTGTTTGTGGTGTTTCTTTATGTTTTTCTATTGTGTTTTTCTGTATTGCTGCTCTATTGTGTGTGGGGGTACTAGTGTATATCTGCATTGCTGCTCTTTGCTTTATGTGTTAGGTTGGTCTTGGGGGGGTACCATATGTATATATATATATATATGTATATATGCTTATTATTATCATTATTATTTACTTTTGGTAATTGGTTAATTAGTTGACCAATTAATCAATGAATTAGTTAAGTAAATGCTTAATTAGAGAATTTATTTGTTTTGTTTTTTGTTTCTTTTTACATAGCTGTGGGCGGTGACAACCTTCCTCAGGCCTTGCGAGGGCACTGGATCCTTTTCGGCGGCTATCATCAGCTTCACTGCCACCCGAAGCCAGCCGCCAGTGTTTGCGGTACCTGGGTTTGACAGGGGAGACTTCCTACTCACCTGGAGGTGCAGAGCTGGTTTCCATGCAAGCCCATGCTTGCACCTCAGTTCCCTGCGGCCCATTGACAGGGAACATGTTTTACTTTTGGCAGTGGCTTCGTTAACGTGCATCGCGCAGGTGAACGGCGATTCTTATGACTTCACCAATGCTGCTTGGTCAACCTGGACCACGATAGATTTGCATCAGATTCGCATGTAAATCCCAGGCTCGGTTTGGTGATGGCATGGATGGGCCCATTGTCGTCTATGGCAGAAATGAGAAGGCTTTCGTAGCATGAGGGTTCATGAGGGTCCAGCAACCTTGCAAGCTACAAGAAGCATTGCCACATTATGATGTAAGCATTGGTTGGATCACCAATTGACCGATCATTGAGCGCCGACTTTGTTGTTGCAGATTGTCGTCATCGAGATGATGGTGCACGATGGCCAAGCTCTCACCGTGTCATGTGGACACTATCGGGGAGTTTGGTGTAGTGAAAAAGCTGACATGGAGCCTGTATTGACAGAAACAGGCAATGCGATCGGGTCCCGTGATTTGTCGTGTCTGAGGTGTGCAAGCAAGCATCACTATTCACAATGTGCGGAATCCGATGACGCAGTGGGCACAGTGGGCGCTCTTCGAGCAGGTGTGAAATGTCGAATCATGTCAAGCTGGTCCGCCTATGCGAGGCCCGGAATCTCTAAATGGAGTGCCAAGCCCTGAGCTTCATCAGCTTCCGTACTCCGCTGAGAAAAAAATCGGGCGAGTTGGCATTTGGCCGGTTGGTGGTGCCCCTGCGTCATGGCCTGTCAGGTGACAACATACGTCAAGGGGCCTATTCCTGGAGTCCCGCGTCTCGGCCTGGCTTGGCAAAGAGTCTCATGCGCAGTGTTCTAAGCATAGGGGGTAGCTTCCAGCAATAGCGGGTACCTTGGCCAGCAATAGCGCATAGCCGCATAGTGCTCCACATCTGTCTGGCCAAAAGTTGCGGTATTCTGAGGAGGGTACCCGTTTCCTGTCAAAGACCCTCGCCCTTAGCGCCCTCCGGTACGGCTCCCTTTCATTCTGCAGAACTAAAAATACCCGGTCTCTTTCTAAGTATAGGCAGAATATTCTTCTTCCCCTTTCGAACAACATCCTTGCATCTATGGAATGCTACCTTGACAGCCACATTCGCCATCGACAGTATGCTCCGAAACAAATGCTCCACCAGTCAGTCCATCCATGTTATCCGACACCTCAGCGAGGTATATGAACGTCACACGATGTCACACGTCCTCATTTCCTGCTATGTTTTTGAGCTGCTCGCAGGCTGGCTCTGTTACCTTCACCATTTTTGCCGCTCTGCAATGTTTCCTTTTTCGCGCTCCATCACTTGTAGTTAAGGGTTCTGGATCGCTCTCGTCTCGTCGCCAGACAAAAGGTATTCCACGATGTGGAATCCTGCTTCGCACAGTACGGCAAAATCTCGGGCGTTTGGGGTTTAGGGTTTTGGGTTTAGGGGACATGTCTTGGAAGTGTCGTTACATGAGGGTTCAGGGTGTCGCGCTTATTCGACTTGCCGAGGACGACCACAACAGTCATGCCAGTTGTGGCGCTGAAGCCTCTGACGGAGATTGCGCTTCCATGCACCTGAGCTTTCAGCCATTCTCTGTACTGATCAAGGTGCTCTACAATCGGTGGAATATGTGGCATGTTCCCCCAGCCAGAAGCAAGACGAGACGAGAAGCCGCAGGCTCAGGTCGCATTTGGCTGTTGATGTGCACCATGAAGTGTCCAGACGTGGCACCCACAGCAATCCAAGCCAGCCATAGCGCACATGCAAGATCTTGCATACTGCCAATGCAGATCGCAACTGGTGAATGGTTGCGGGTGATTGCGGGCAATTGCTGGTGATTGTGGGGGTGCGATATTGCGTGTTCGTGTTCGTGTTCGTGTGTGTGTGTGTGTGTGTGTGTATGTGGGACTGTAAGGTTGGACCTGGAATCAATGGCCGTGCTCGGGTACATAAGCCCAAGCCTTGCCTTGATTCGCATAGATTTTCGCGCAGTCCGTCTTGATGCACGAAGTCAAACGAAGAGGTGCGCTCTCAAACTCCTTCATCAACCCCATCTACTATGGCGTGCCTACACCTAAGCTTCTCCCGTGGGATGCAGCCGTGTGATGTCTCTCCCACGATGCCGCGTTGCCTTGTTTCATTTTGTTTCCAGGAATGATGCCCTGGTGACATTCGAGCTGCGCGGGGTGTGCCTGGCATGTTTTGAAGCCTGATGCTGCAACAAACTGGCAGCGGCCAGGGTCGTGCTGAGTGTAATGACCCGACAGGAAACGCCTCATGAAGTGAACGACGTCCTTGTTGTGACAAGACCTCCCGGCTACACTTTGCATCGGCCCTAGCTGCATGGGCCTGTCCTGTCAGAGACCTGGGAGTGTTGCCCCAAGGCATGCCGGAGGATTGAGAGCTCTGAGATCCGTGAGCTTTGGGGAGAACGGTAGTGGCCTCACCTGGACACATGCTGATCATCCATGTGACGTCCATGTGTACTACTGGGAGGCTTGGACTTTCGGCGCAAGTGGAGTACGGACTTCAACAATCCGGAGGACAGGGACAGGGACAGGGCCGAAAGAGCCGTAGGCTCAATCCATCATGAATCATGGCCTACAACGTTTCTTGCCAGTGTCTTTTTGGCATCCAGCTTTGAGCGTGGGCCTTCCCAGTTCATGCAGGCAGGGAGTTGCAGACATACACTTGCTTCGTGTGGCATGTTTCGCAGCTCCTTGACAACGACCTTTCTCAGATGAAGGGGGACTGGCTCTCCCATGCAAGCGCTCGTCCCGCAAGGAGACTTAGGTTGGACCCAGATATCCCGCTGATCGCCTGTACGCGTCTGGCAGCGAAGAACAAATCCAGGTTTCGGTGCAGGCAAACCTAAGAGGCAACTGCAGGAAGCAGTTAAATAAAATGCTGTGTTCAAGAAACACATCTCGGCAATCTCGTCGAGAGTGCGTACTTTGTGCCAGTTGCCCGGGCCTTAGCCGATGCTTTCCACAATGTGCTGCGGCTACCGCGTCGGCTTCATGATGTGCGTGGAACACTGCTCGTGATGATTCCTTCGCAGCAGTGTTGCGTGCTGCTGTCATGCGGCAACCCCGGGCGGTTGTCACACAACACACAACAGCAAGCCCACAACAGCTTCAAACATATCCCCAGAACATGTTATCATCCAGATGCTGATGGGTTTACCAAGCGCAAAGCCGCAACAACGTACCAGTTGATCTTTGATACCACAATCCCGTCCGTTCACCAACACCTCGCAACCCAGCCAATCACCAAGTCAAACAAACATAAAGCTGATGGCAGCAACATCGGCAGTTCAGAACGTGTCCTCGGTGCTGTGCTTCGTTGGCAAGACTGCACGGAGATGTCGAGCTCACAGATCACACAGACTTGCGCCGCGAACGCGCACCAGCAAGGCAACACCACACCACGACGCCAGCGCCGCATGGTTTCATTCAAGCCATGCTCCTGCATACTACCCATGAGCACCTGCACCGACGCCTCTCGCATTCAACCCATGCCGTCCCGCACCAAAGCAATGCAACACATTGAACAACTTTCGCATGGGAACTGAAACGTGAGCGTTTGTTTGCTAACGATGCTGTGCCTGCTGCGGGCTTCTGGTACTTTCCATCCAAGAAGGTATTCGCCGTGTCAGATCCACTCGCGTCGGCTCGATGCATTGGAGTATCCCCCTTTCTTAACAGAAATGCTCTGAGGGCATAGGTCCTCTGTGTCCAAAATCAGTGCCCATTTTCCGGCTTGATGCGAATACTAGCATGAGCTTAGGACCTCTGAATTTGGACACTTCATTCCTTTCTAGATCGTTGGGGACATTGGAGTACTCCATCAATGGTCTTGAAGACAATGCGCCACTCACGGTTGCCGCAGTCTCAACATGCATGGACCTGCATGGACATTGTACGCAACATGGCCACAACATTCCCCCTGCCTAATTTCGCAGCGATGATGCATTCGAACGTGTGTTGAACGTTGGCTGCAGTGACATTTTCGTGTCGCTCCGTGGATTCTTGGAATTCGTCGCAAAGGAATTATGGGTCATGCCTTTTTCTTTGCAGCCGCAAGGACTACTACGCCGTTCTGACCCAACCGGTGCCCGTTCGCGCCTCTCAAGGGCTTGTCATGGCCTGTCAGCCGTGCAATCGCAGGGTTGTTTTGTTGTTGCAGTTTCTTGCACAGGGCAGGCAGATCTTGTGAATTGAGTTGCGAGATCGCTTTGTGAACGCTGCATATGAACAATTTGGGGCTTTCCATGTTCAGAAGCGTTTCGTTTCAAGCTGATATGTCGAGGCCGGGACCACGATCCGCTTCCAGCTCGGCGTGGCGTCCCCGCCTCTCGCGGAGAAGGCCATGCTTGAGAGCTACACAGACGCATTTCGGTTGCTGTTTCACATCGTCATAATGCAGACCAGGTGATGAACTGGCATTTCACGACCTGGCGGGTCTCATCCTGAGCTGTCGCCTTTTGGAGCAGCAACATCGCTGCCTGAACACAAAGTCGCAATGCAGCCGATTGAGCATCAGCATCAACCAGGCTACATTAGCATGTTCTTTATGTCGCCGTGTGCCGTTACAGGTTGAGCCACTGGTCGATGAGGATGGGGCGATTGTCGATGCCTCCATGCCGATCTATCCCTGGATCGGTCGCACAATCACGGTGCGGCTTGACATGTACGGTGCAACTTTCTTCCATGGAAGTTCACAAGTCCGCATGCGTTTCAGCAGGGGTATGAGATGGTTCGATGGCCGGACAGGCCACGGGAACCAGTGATGGCGCTTTCAGCGGCTTCCTGCTAGTGGGGCATCGGGCCTTGGAGACTGCATCGTATGCTAATCCTATGCTCATCGTATGCTCAAAGCCTGCCAAGCCCGATGCATCTTCTGAGGCAGGTGCCTTTTTCGGTGACTCCCTCGTTGCAGACCCCGGGGGCCGAGCATTTTCCCTAGTTGCTCGTGTCGGACGCACGTCACTGAAGAGCACAGTGAGCCGTGCGTAAGGATCAAGCTGACAATCAACTTCGGCGTGGCCGACGGCGTGGAAGCTGATGAAAGCGTTCGAATGGAGGCCAGTGCGATTGATCTGTCATATCAAGCTGCAGTTTCGGCTGATTTGACTGCGGCTTCGATGGGTAGAGCCAGAGGTCTCTGCGCCGGACGGCTTTGTCTTTGCCGCAACGTGCTTAGCAAGCCTCATGGCGCATGTCTTGTTTTGATACGAAAGAAAACGGCGCAACCAGGACTCGTGCCGATATGGGGGCAGCCCGATCTTCTCGAAGTGCACCGGCTTCCTAAACCAGGCTCACTGGGCTTGCCTCGTGCAGGAATACGCAGGCTCAATGCTTGAGAAGGCTTGTGTGTCGTGGTACATGTCAGGCAACTTTGGTCACAGCACGGCCAAGGCTGGCCTCTGAGACCCATCTTGCCATATCTTGCCATCTTGTGAAACCATCTCTGTGTGCTGCAGGCTGCGTGGCTCGGACATCACGGTAGACCTGCGAGTCAGCAACCCTGGACTGACGCCATCGCCGAACTACTTCTACGTGGCACTTTTCCAAGATGCGTGTGCCCAAGAGCAGAGAGAACCGAGCCTTTGTCTGACGGAGTCCTTGCATATGGTCTTTGCTTTCTGAGGAGAGCACTCAGTACGTACGGTGGTCGCAGGCCGTAGTCATCAAGAAGCATTGGTCATTGTCCATGCATTGTTCAGAACGGAAAAATGCTGCCTGTCGTTTCTGATTTTCGCAGACTCTGAGCTATGAGATCATGGGCAGTGAGCCAAGCTCTGGCGAGAAGCTGCAATCGCGTTTTTTTGCAGATGAGACGTGTCGCCAAGGTATGGGCGTTGTGTACAAAGGAAACAATCAGCTCGGAGAGGCCGCCCTGGTCGGGTATGGGCAATATGGGCAGAGCCATTGCTACTAAAGCCATCGCTGTAGTTTATATCTATATCTTCATATATATATACACATATATATATATATACATGTTGTTTTTAAAATTGTTTTCGTTTGTTTGGGCAGGCAGCGTCTGGCTTCTTTACGTTCACCCCGGTGCGGCCTTCCCCTTCTCCTGTGGTGCACATCGTCCGTCCGGCTTGTTGAAGCAGATCTGAAAGAAGCGGTGAATTTGTGCAACAATGCGGAAGACCTCGTGTGCTTGTCCCCTGACTGACAGGTTGTTACGCCACCGCCCAATGCAGGTTTCCGTGTGCTGTGTCAGTGCCCCTGCTGGGGCAACTCCACGCAGAGATCTTGATAGATGCCAGGTGTGTGCCCTTGCGTTCCGCCAGTTGCTAAGGCACCGGCATCAGCCCGCTGGGCTTCGTGTTCATGCCAAACTGCGAGCATGGGGGACCCAGTTTTTCTGACGCTTCCGAAGCTAGGAGGGCATTGGATTCCAGGCTGAAAGGGTCCTCAAGACTCACAGTGCAATCGAGTTTACGCTGTTTACACTGAGTTTACACGTGTCCCTTGTCAGCTCGAAGCGGGTGTTCCGAGCCGTTGCTCAAGGCCTGTCTTGGCTCAAGGATCCCAGTCTTAGCTTTCCAAATCCAGATGTTCATAGCGAGCCGCGGATGTATATAGTGGAGCAAGAGCATGTCGTGAATGCACAGTCGCAGTGCAGTGACGTTCCGTTGCTGTGTCTTCCACGGTCAGTTACATGGCTAGACTAGAGTCACTAAAGGTGGTTCGTTCCCGAGCAACGCAAGGACGTGATGATATGGCTGGTCTTCTTGTCCACCGGGGTTACGGATCCTTGGAGTGGAGTTATGTAAGCCAACCGCAAACCACTGGCCAGACTTGGAGATCTGCATGGTAGCACGGATGAGTGAGCTGCTTTTCCTTGCAGTGCAGATCTGGTCATCCAGAGTAGCCATTTGCAGAGGTGCTGGCCGAGCGCCCTCATGTTGATGCTGATGGCTTTCGCCAGGCAGACCATTGCCATACTTTGACTTCGGGTGGTGTTCTGTAGTTCTGGCCTGGTGTCTTCCTCCTGCCTTGCACATGTTCTCGCGGATGCCAACTGTCCACTTGCAAATAGATCCCTCGCGGACTGTTTCTGCCTTTTGGCAGGTAAGCTTACAGGCAGATGGGCCTGCTTCCTTTCTGGACACAGCCTAGTGCTTGTTGCAAGAGTGGCACACAGAAGTTTTTCTTCACAGCTATTGCACGCTATGGAGCAGGACCTTTGGAGACGGAGCTCTGCAAAGGAGCAGCATCATCACAAGGTGCAGCCGCAAAGTCGCGGCCCCAAAAATTCAGAGTTGCATGTGTGCAGTGTCGCTCGGAAGTTTCGGGTTACACCTGCCATTCTGAGAAGGGCATGAGCATGCCACAGCTGAGGCTGGCAACAGGAGGCCTTGCCCCTTTGCAATGCAAGGAGTTGTGCAGGGCACAGTTGCATCTTTTTCTGCAGTTCTCCTTCCCTCCCTCCCATCCTGCACGGACGCCTGCATGACAAGAATCCTTCCTCTCGTGTTGTTTGCAAGGTTTCCGTGTTAGTGCCAGCGTCCAAGCACGCGCATTTGTCGCGGGCGTGGCCCTCAGAGCTTTGCAGGCGATGACGGGCACTGCGAACGACGAGACGAAGACCGAGAAGGACCTTGGTTCCCCAAACCGTATTAGGTGCCATTTCGGTGGTATTCGCGAAACGCAGCATGTCGGTTTGCACCCTGGCGTGCGTTGTGACATGCCAGGAAGGCGAATGCCGAAATGTTTGTTTCAAGCCTTTAGCTTGTCCCGCCCTCCCTCCCTCATCCGGGCGTTGAATGCTTCTATTTCTAAATTATCGCTTTGTACGTGCGTACTTCAAGACTTCCTCAAGTCGGGCTTCGTCCGACTCAGGAAAATGACGGGGGGCCTTTATTTGCCATTATTGGCTCCATCCTGCGCTACTCCTTTGCAAGGCGGATCGAAAACCCGCCGATGGAAGGTTTTTCCCGCGGCACAAACACATCCGGCTTAGTGTGCCTTTCGGGCCATTTTGGCGGTATTGGCCAAACGTAGCATGTCCGTGCTGCTCGCAGTGTTTTTGCGTTTGTGGGCTTTGAGGATTTGAGGCATTTTGAAGATAGCATCCCCAAACAAGGCACAGTTGCTGCCGGTTTGGTGCACAAAGCTTTGCAGGCGACAACGGGCACTGCGAACGACGAGACGAAGACCGAGAAGGACCTTGGTTTCTTAAGCCTACCAGGTTTCATTCAGTATGTGCGTGTGTGTGCCTTGAGGGTTTAGGACAATGGGTCACTTGGGACCCACATGGGCTGGCAGTCTGCTAGCGAAGCAGGTTTTTGTTTGGCATTCCAAGAGGCGCCATCATGATGCTGCCTCTTGATGGATGACGCAGTGGATAGATGCGGAGGGATATAACGTTGTTGAGTCGAGCTGCTGCCGCCCTGCCATGACTTCGAATCCCCATTTCTTCGCAGGAATCTCCTCCAAACAAGGCAGGGGCTATGTGAGTGTCGTGTGCGCGTGCGTGCACCTGCACAAGGTGATGGTCTTGTATGCAGGCTTACTTTGTGCAATGACTCTACGCCATAGAATGGGATGGATGAGCACTTTCTGCACCTGCTAAAAGTGAAATGGGCCCTTCCGTGTAGAACCGGTAAGCCATGTGTCGTCTACAAACCTCAGCAAACCATCACCGAACCCAAAATCGGCACTGGTGTCACCGTGCAACTGCTCATAGCAGCATAGCATTGAAAGACGGACAGCCGCCTGCAAATGTCCGAATGCAAGCTCGCCATGCTCGCATGCCTCGGTTCTGGCCACTGTGGGGCTCGGGCCGGAACAAATGTCTTTTGCATGAGGGTGGTAGCCAGGAGTGCTCCACCATTACGGTCCTGCCTTTCGAATCTCCTATCATCTCAGAACTGCATGCATACGAGGCCACATCGTGCTCCGTGCTCCATCCCTTCGTCCTGTGGCCTCTCTTTGTTGGCCGTCCTCCGGTGTAATGGTAGCTCCCCTTTAAGTGTTGCCCTTGATTTGGCTGGAGGTTGGTGGTTAGTCGCATTGTTGTGCTGTCAAACGTCGTTCACGCTGTCCGTGCCAGTCGGTTGGACCCGTGCAGTGTTTCCGCCCAAGCATGCAGTACATTTCGAGAGTATCAGCACATGAGCGTGACTTTGTGGTGGGTGTGTGTGTGTGTGCGCACGGGGCATAGGGCACGACCTCTGGTCTGGCTGCCACAGGTGGACTTTGCCTCCCAATGACCTTGTTGATGCAGTTTGTGCTTCACGTTTGCCACATGACGTATTTTTTTTTTGCCTCTCGCTCTCTCTCTTTCGCGCTCTCTCTCTCTCTCTATCTCTCTCTTTCGCACTCTCTCTCTATCTCTCTCTCTCTCTCTTTCTTTCTCCCTCCTTGTCCAGCTTCAGTTATGAAAGGTTGAAATAGGCTCTTGACCTTTGACACGTGGTTAGTTTGAGTGCAGGGATCAAATCCAGACGATCAAGAAATATCAGACCCTGCACCACCAAGAGAGGACAGCTATTGCAGCGCTTGTTCATGTGAGCGCATGGTGGCTGTGTCGCCAAAGCCTTCCGATCGCAGGAGGATGCAGAAATCCCTGGCTCGCAAACATGGAAGCAAGCGAAAGAAATGAACACCTGCGAGTTGAGAGAGGCAGAAGTTAAGCGTCATTGTTAGTGGCCACAACGACTTCGGAGTACGCTTTTGCCGTTGGCATGTTGCCTGCAGGCTTACCCGTGTGGACCAAAGCTGATTCATTGCTGCTGCAGGTGCTTTTGTTCAATGTCTTTCATCTTTGCCCGCACATGTCTCAAGAGAGAGCCGGATCCGAGCTCTGAGATGACACGCAATCGTTCAGAGCGCAAACATGCACAAATAGTTCAACTTGCTTCAACTCTGACCTGAAGCTGTCGAAGTAGCCACTGGATTAGCCGCTGTGTCCTGCCAGGTTCGGCTGCGAGTTTGTCGAAAACATTGACAAGTGTGACAAGTGCAAGGATGATGTTGCTCATCCAGAATATGCTTCTTGAACGCCAGCCGAAAGCAGAGTTGCTGATCCCAAGGCTGCCATCGTCAAGGCAAACATGCAGCTTGGATTGATATGCCCAGACATCTTGCCAAAGATGTGTGTGTTGACATGATCGGGCGTCCGAAAGGATCCCGGCTTCTCAGCTCTGGGAGAAGAGAGTCAAGGAAGGCATTTGCAACGCCGCACGGAGTCATCCATGCCTGGGCCTCGGGAGCAGAAGGGTAGCATATGGTAGCATCTTTCAGATGGGGACTCAGATTGCATAGGAGCTCTGAGGTGGACCTGGGCCCCGTGGCTGCATCCACTTAAAGGGTTTAGGGTACTTCTGCAATTGCTCAGGCTGCAGAGTGGCTGCACCCTGAGGTGCTGCTGCAATGCTGGTTGGTCGTGGAGCAAGGAGCTGCGCATCTGCCAAAGCGAAGAAGAGAAGGCTGCTGGTAAAGAGAAGGGCAGCGACAATGGACAGGCGCGGCCGGGTATTTCGTGAGCCTCTGCAAGGGTGAGATGAGCTGGCCGCTGCCGACAGGACAAAAGTGGTGATTCGAATGAATCGCAGTCAGACGATGACGGAGGCAACTGGAAGGAGAATGAACGTGTTCAGCTGTGCAGGAAAAGTAGCTGAGTTATGCTGATTTCCAGGATGGGGTCGCACAAGTCCATGTGCCCAAGGTGGAAGTGGCTCTTCAGAGAAGAGTTTCGCCAAAGCAGCTGGAGGTCTTGGAGGCCTGTGCCATGTGGTATATCAAGGAAGGAGAACCGCTTCGCTTTCGCTTTGCAGGAGCACTGGCCATCTTTCTGTGGGCGCAGGCAAAGGGCGAAAAGGGTGACAAGGGTGAAAAGGGTCGGCTTGCAGAGAAGGTTTAAAGTGCTCGGGATCCTAGGCCCGGGAAAGCAATGGAGAAGGGATAAGAAGAGACAAGGAGAAATGAGGGAGGAAGAGGATGCGGATGTGTGCGGAAATCTCGGATCCCCTACGCGATTCAGAAATTGCGAATACAAAACCAGGGCGAATCAGAAACTGCGCATCCGACACCCGCGAATCAGAAACTGCGAATCAGAAACTGAGGATCAGAAACCCGCGCATCAGAAACTCGCGCGAATCAAGCTGCGCATCAGAACCCGCGCGCGCGCGCGCGCGCGCGCGAGTCAGAAACAGCGCAGCAGTAACTGCAGCACATGTCAAACAAACCTGCTCGAACGTGGGGGGAAACTCCATGGAGGGTGGGACCTGCTCGAACGAGAGGACATGGGGGGTCAGGTAGGGGTGGGGGGGTGGTCAGGTAGGGGTGGGGGGGTGGTCAGGTAGGGGTGGGGGGGTGGTCAGGTAGGGGTGGGGGGGGGGGGGGGGGGGTTAATCGTTTGCAGGCGGCTGGCACCACATTGGAAAGCAAACGAGAGAAGGGTGTTGTTGGGGCGGGGGGGGGGGGGGGGTGAATCGCAGATAGGTTGCCAACACATGAAAAAAACAAGCCAGAGAGCGCTCCACGACTTCCACACCTCGGAAGTGATGGGGGCGGGGGTGGGGGGGATCGTGAGGGTTTCGGGCTTGAAAGTTTAGGGCTCCGGTTGAGCAGAAGATGGCCAGACCGAACCGCTTTCGTCAGGATCTCTTGGCGGGAGAAGAGTCCGAAGAGTCCATTGTTCTGCCTGACCAGTGTCGCCTCGACAGGTGCAGGTCTGACTTGTAAGACATTGCCTGACCTTCGCGGCGAGTTTCACTTGTCATTGCAAGCGAGAGTTCAATGGGGGCTTCTGCCAAAAAGATGCGTTTGTGTATGTTGCGCTCCCCTAACGTTGTAGTCCAAGATCGCTTGCTGAAGTTTACAACTCATCCTATCTTGTCCAGCAGTTCCGAAGTTCAGTCGTCAAGTTGCCAAGGTCTGGTGCAGTCAACGACCCCTTGACGCTGCGCTTCTCAAATGCCAGCCTGGAAGCGGGGAAGGCCAGGTGGAATTCACGAGGTTGCAGTGCGGATGGAGTGCTAGCAGGCGCGTTCCGGCGTGTTTCTGAAGGCATACACAGTTGGAGTGCGGGTCTTGAACCCTGGCGGACGCCCGCCTGAGCAGCAACCCCAGAAGTCACTTAGCAATCAGTCTGGTTTTGTTGATACAGCCGTTTACTGGCTCGACCTGATAAGGGCGACAAACTATTGGGGCATTTCGCTGCAGGACGCTTGGATCTGGATTATGCGTGTGGACAGGCAGCAGGTAACAAGTACAAGTTTGTCTGTGCTGGATAAAGGCACAAAGCCGCAAAAACAACTCCCAACAGTGGTTGTACACTGATGAAAAGACTCACGTGGCTAAGGCCGCAGGCTTCACCCTGCACACATGTAAGAAAGGTACACGTGAATAACACACAGCTTGATGTGGACATCTTGGGCCCAGATGTGCAGCAAGCGCGCAGAAGTTGACAGCATGGCACTGCCGCAGGACCATAACAAGGACACCTTCGATGCTAACCTCCGAATTCCTGGGCTCGATCTCAAGTCCATTCCGATTCGATGCAATGGACTAGGTCAGGCGCTGAGATAGCCGATGGTCCATTCCATTGTGACACACCTCTGCTGATGTAAGGTTGGACGAATGCAGATCCACGGGTTTTGGCGTACGTGGGGAGCCAAGGGCACCGCCACGTGGACCATCCCCCTCCTCCGGATTCACCCTTTTCCGACGGTTCGCAGTGCTGTTACCGCCAAGGTGCTTATCCAGATACGGGTGCTGCACGAGATCCCTGCGGGAACGCTGCAAAGATTTACGGTGAGAGCGCAGCTGCCTCAGAAACAGCGCATCCCCACGTTGACTCGTGCGACTCGTGCGCCTGCGCCATCTTGCACCCCAGGCCCGAGGGCATCATGTTCAACGAAGATCCCGCGAAGGCCTGGGCTGCCAGAAAGTGTATCCAAGAGCCTCAGAAGTTGCAGAGTTTTTTTAACGCACGGTTTGCCTCCCGGATGTGGTCTCCTATACACTACCCCATGGTGGGCCAACAGAATTCTCTTCACACGCGACGCGCGACACAACGCGCGCGGGTGGTCGTGAACGCGTCGCATGCCCCACCTCGCCGCCGGGTCCCTTGACAATATGCCTTAAGGCAAGAGGTGTCAAGGCGGCTTTTGACTGTGGAGGTCCACGGGTGTTCATGACGCCTACGGCCATGGAGTGGGGTTAAGAATCAAGAAGCTTTAGAGGCTCATCTTCGATTGGAAAAGAATTCTCGAATACTTAGCAGACTTAGCCCTTTCTTTTGGGCTTAACACATTGCGGCCGCGTTCCACGACTGCAGCCCGAGTACGCCCGAGTACGCCCGAGTACGCCCGAGCGAGTACGCCCGAGTAAGCCCGAGTAAGCCCGTGTACACCAGGGTACTGGTCACACCTGGTCATACGCGGTCATTCCCGGTCATGCGCGGTCATACACCCGGGACATACCCGTCATACCCGGGCATACCCGGTCATACCCGCGCGTGCGCAGACATACCTATGTCCGGGTATGCCATACGCCGGCCATACCCCGGCCATACCCCGGCCATACCCGGCCATACCCGGCCATACCCGGTCATACCCGGTCATACCCGGTCGTACCCGGTCATACCCGGTCATACTCGGTCACATGGTCCTGTGTTTTTCCGCAGTCGCTGTTTCCCGTCACAGTGGCTTAGTTCAACACAAGCAGTTCGTGCTCCATAGTGCTCCAAGCCATCTGTAGGGCCTGCAGCGCGCGTCTGCAAGTGGTTGCATGTGTCCTTTCCCTGTTAAATTTTTGTGAGACTGTGAACCTGTGCAAACCAAACTGCGATCAGCCACTTCATCTTCTGTTCACGACCATTCGGCCACAGATCTTCCGTTCCTGCTTATCTGCGACATGCCTGGATTGTGCTTGAGCGTGAGCCCTGACTTTCTCTGGCCCGTGCAGCATTCCGTGGCCGAGGAATATCCGAAGGTCAAGCCGGGCTCACCAACCGTCCTGTGAGTGTTACTTTTGTTGGCAGCGATGGCAAAACAAACGTATTGTGAACCTCTGTGTTTGTGGCAACTCCGTTCGCTTCTTGCCATCTCGTTCGTTGAGTGAGACCAATCTGTTGTGTGTCCATCAGCTTTTGCAAGCTTCAGCCCTCAGTAAGCAGCTCTTGTTCGTGAAAGGTGACGGTGTTGCCAAAGGCGCTGCCACTTCGGCTAGCGATTCCCACTCAAGTGGCCGGCGATTTGCTGCAGCTCGACAGCAAGTCCGAAAGAACAAATGAAGAGGACTACCCGGGGAAACGGTGCGCCGTCAGGTCTCTTTACCTGGACGAGATGGCTGCGGTGGTCTCTAGCCCGTTTGACGTCGTGAATGCTTCCCTCCCTTGTGAAACCCTGCCTTGCCGAGGAAGTCGGCACGTACAACATTCGGTTTGAAGTGAGCAATCCGAGTCGGCACCTAAGATCTCAAAGCTTATCTTCTTCGGCGTTCTGCTTCTCAGTCGCTGGCTAATGACCTTGCCGTTCGTGCAGCCATCTACCCGCACGACAACACCTGGTCCATCTTTGCCATGAAAGACATCACGATGGAGTTTGTCCATGTGCTGACAGGCTTGGCCTGTGTGAACGTGTTCGGGCAAAGACGTGGGGAGGTTACTGGTGCCTGCAAGGGGTGCCCCCCTGCAAGGCTACTACGAGGGGCAGGCGTCCCCTTTCGACATTCATATCGTGAGGACCCTGGTCTTCGCGAGACTTTGAAGTGTTTGAAGTTTTCATTTCCATGTTCTTTGCGAGGCCCAGGCTCGGACGAATGCAGCTCCACACGGGGCTCGATGTTCGTTTCGGCCTCACAGGGCCCTCAGTTTTGGGTGTTTTAAGTCACCGCACTCGCGCATAGCACTTGATGGGGAGACTCAGGCTCCTACTGCTCTTCCTCGTGTTGACGAGCCGAGGGGTGCTGGACCTTTGGGCACCAAGCAGGTAGAAGGACCAGTAGCGGCAGGTTGACTCGCGTTCCACGATAGCCGGACACCTTGTTAGCAGAGTATGCAGCCTCTACTCCTTGTTGGTCAGCCGATCGAACTCATGTTTTTCGTTTCACCTGCCAAATTGGCATGATAATGGCGATTGCCCAACAGGCAAACTTAGAAACTTATGGGTCTCGCAATGTGAAGATGCAGTTGTGATTCGTTGATTGGATTGCATGTTTGCACAGAGGCAAATCCTCAATGGATGTCCGCTTTTCAGTGCATGGAGTGCCTTCTCCTATGAGTTTAGCAGCTTGCACGGAAAAGTGTGCGCAACGGATGCTGAGAGGATGTGGATGTTCCCGTCTGCAAGCTGTGCAAGTTAAGGGGTGAGTTGGTGATGTTGGGTCCGCTGCAAGCTGGGCTCAGTGTTGGGCCTTGATTTGTGTGGCGTGCAGATCGTGACAGGCTGTTGGCATCTGTCGTGCGACTCACCTGGCAGTCAGAGAACTTGTAGTACAGTGGACAGGCGAGATGCGCTTGCAGAAGGTGCGTGCCTGCCTTGCTGGTCCTTCTTTGCCTCTTTGTGGCATTGTCTGTAGCTTTGTTGCTGTGCAGGTTGAGCAACATGACGATCTCGAAATGCTCGATGATCCAATGATCCAGCACGAGGTGCACGAGGCATCGTGCCTGAGTTCATCCGTTCAAAGGGCCCTTCTTGATGCAGGAATGGCCAATGCGCCTTCGCCCCTGGATTCGGCGAGTTTCCCTAGGCCCACAATGCACGGTGGTGGCACCCGCCAGTGTGTTGCGGGTACTGGCAATGGCAGCACACATATGGAACATAGATGCACCCGTGTGATATCCCCAGCAGCAGTATGCTTTCATGCACGCTCGAATGTTTGCACTGGTGTGCTTCTGTCATTTGGCCTTGTCTTGTGATGCACCTGATCAAGCTATTCGAGACGAACTAAGCCTGACTAAGCATTGCGTTTATGGCTTCCCGGTGGTAAATGCATCTGGATAGGGAAGAAAGTTCAGGCCAAGCCTGTTTTTCGACGAACGGCGAGAATAAATTCGCCTTCAAACGTGCAGATGCGGTTTTGGCAGCCCAGGCATTGCATTTGGCTAGGTTCGGGCTGGGCCTGCTGTGCGAACACAGCTTGCGAAAGAAATCCCGCAAATTCCAAACCGTGCCAAAGCTTCTGGAACCAAATTCTTGCTCGGCGACGGAATGCCCGGAACCCTCGGAACCCGCCCAAAACCCATGGAGAACCATGAGTCTTACCTGCTTAGCCGCTAGTTTTGCTTGTGCTGGAATAGCTGCTTACAGCCGGCCTTTAAAGTGATGGCGCCTAGAGTCTACTAGGCTAGCTTTCGTTGTCCTCGGTTTATTTTTTAACAAGGATTCTTGTATTTTGCAGTGCACCACAGACGGGAGGGGAAACACAGAAATACACCGATACTCCGATACGCCGATACACCGACGCGAGTCACCGAGTGGAGCGGGGGTTGAACACAAAATGGGGGTGGGGTCGCGATTGCGATCGGCGTAGGACTGTGGCACCACACCGACACACCGACCAAGGGGGCCCCGGGGCCATCGGCACAGGACTCTGGCAATGCACCGGTACACCGATACACCGACCGAGGGGGGACAGCGGCAATACACTGATACAACACCGATACATTGAGCAAAGGGCTCGCGACCAGAGCAGGACTGCGGCAATCAAGGCCCCGGCAATTCTAGGCATTTTTGTCTTGTGTAGCTATGTGCCAATGCGTTTGGCTCCAAATCGGTGTATCGGCGTATGTCGGCGTATTTGGGTGGGGGAGGGGAACCGACATATCGGCGTATTTGGGTGGGGGGGCCACTCGGCGAATCGGCGTATCGGCGTATTTGAGGCGAGGTCGGCATCGACGTATCGACACATTTTGGGCGGGCGGGCCCTATCGGTGTGTCGGCGTATCTGTGCTGTGGGGGGAGGGATGGCATCTCGGCCTATGAGCATATCAGCGGGGGTGCAGGATTGCACAGTGGCAAGGGGTCGGTGTATCGACGTAATGAGAAATGCCCATGTCGATTGCTACAGTGTGAGCAGGGGGGTAGGTTCCGTATGTGAGCGTTGACCAGTCCATATGAAAAGCCCAGTCTTCTCTCTCTGTGGTGTGTGTGTGTGTGTGTGCGTGTGCATGCAGGTCTCATGGCAATCGCGGCAGCTCTAGCCCTGCAGCATCGATGGCGAGCCAACAGGCTTCGGCTCCATCACCATGAAGTATGACGACTACACTTACACTTTGGCACATGGTGATACTTCGTGTATGCAAAGTGAAGGCTTGCAAAGCAAAAAGGGGTGGACACAGTGGTGTCGAGGACCAGCCATGCTCTTTCTGCCATCTCCATGAGCTCGCAAAATACTGGCAGCGACTTTCGTGGTGCCCCTGGCGAGTCTCGCTGAGTCCTTGTGTTGCTGAGACCTTTCAAGCACTGTATTCCACAGTGAGTTGGTTACAGTTGGTTCATGCCGTGAACATGGAATGAAGACGCTCTGAACCCAGGTGGCATAGCCTTGAAGTCTGGAGATGCCAATTATGATACGGTGCCAGCCTGGAGTTCAGAAGGGCGGAGCCGTTGAGAAGTGTGTCAGAAATGTTCAAGGTTTTCAACCAGACCATCTTTGACTGTGTGCAGAGCCTTGGAATGCTTTGGAGGAATTGGTTTTGGGCCCTTGCTTTGCATGATTTGCATGAAGCTGTGCTTCGGCAGGGTTTGCCACACCTCTGAAGCGCTGATCTGAGGAACTCCAAGCAGGGCACGCAGGAAGGGCAACCAAGCTGCGAGACTGCAAGAGGTTTGGCCGGCCTTCGTTGCAGGCCGAGTGCTTTGACTCCATAAAGAGCTTGGATTCCAAGTGCCGTGAGCTTGCGAAGGACGCAAGCTGCAGCCTAGCTGAGTTCGTCGTTTTTTCCAACAGTGCTGCTCAAGTGGATTGGGCATATTGCAAAACTCTGAAGAGACATCTGCAAGCGTTCTGCGTGCAGAGGATCCTGTCCGGGGCAGCTGCATGCAAATCCAAGCCTGCCACATACCAAGCTTCCTCCTTGACGAAGCAAACGAAGTAACGATCTTGCGGGGGGGGGGGGGGGGGGGGGGGGGGTGGGCCCCTTTCCGCATCCTGAGGCCTGACTGGCCAGGACTACGGTCCTATCATGAATCCGTCTGTGGCCGATCTTTAGAAGTTGATCCTGACGTGGCAGTGTCTACAGCAGACCATCTGCAAACTGCCTAGGTGTGACGAAGCCTGTGGCGATACAGGCCATGAACACATGAAAAAGTCCTGCGCCCTGGTTGCATCTAGCTGGGACACCCTATTGTCCGTGGATTGCCCTCACATTGCCATGCGTTGCCCGTGCATGGCCCGTAGTTCAGTGAACCGGTCGCAGGAGCCGACTTGTCGAAGTGTCGTCGCAGGTCATGTCCAGTTCTCTGCGTTGCGGTTGCTGAGTCGCACTTGTGCTTGGGTCTTAGCTGTCGCGCTTGAGTGCTTGACACATGGGTTGAATCAGCTGCTGATGGAAAGCCGAAGCTGTCGTTTATTCACTGAGTCTGCCAGGTACCCAAATGGGTGATTCACGACCAAAAAACCGACTGGAGACTATACCAGAAGCTTGGCTGGGCCTCGCGCGTTGGTGTATATGTTTGTAAGTCCATCGCTTTGTCCATCACAGATGCACTTTGAAACAGCTCTTTCCAGCCTAGAAAGCCCAGGGTCCGGGACATGATCAATGGCCGGACTCTCAGCTCATTGGCATGTCCGCTGCGTAGGACTTGCCATACTCGCCGACACCTAAGGCATTGCAAAGCGGTGCGGGCACCCGATCAAGAATGATCCCTTCTTCAACTCTTGAGCACAAGTGTCACCCGTCTAGCCTGCTAGCCTGCTAGCAAATCTTAAAGAGCAAAGCCACGTGGCCTGTCACCCCTCAGAATTGAGGCCATAGTCGTCGCCTGTGCTATTGAAAGTTCGAGGCAAAAGCCTTGGATTACTTTCTGCACTGCAGGGCGCGAAAACACTCCAGCGTGCAGCAGAATTCGCATCGGGGAATATCAATGATCCTCACGAAGATACAGTGCTTCACACGGTGTTGGCATGTGCACCTCTTGGCTCAAGGCCTTACACGTGTCGTATAGAATCGTATAGAGGAGAGACCTCACGAGAACTCTGCTTGCTAGACGTGAGGTGAGGTAGGGCTTCCAGCAAATCAGGGACGGCCTGTCAGCCAAGTAGTAGCTTGATCTTTCAGCTTCTTGTATTTGACTGTCGGTGTTACTCTGACTTTTCAGTACTTGTAGAACGTCGAGGGGCAGTTGCTCTAGTTCAATTCAGTCCTCCGGCGGTGCGGGCCATCAGTTGCTGATGCGTAGGCGTAGATGGAAGACAAGGACGGCAGCCTCTCGGTGGCAATCAGCCAGTGCGTGTTGTGTTTTACTCAATAGCCTCAATTAGCAACGCCATGCATGAATTCCTACGAAGGAATACGAAGGATAGTTAGCACGGTCCTTTGCGAAACATGATTTACTTGCGTCAGGCATTGCTTGTCTCATCCTTGTTCTTGCCCAGTTTCCTGTGCTCCATGATGTGCGTACAGCAGCACAGCTAGCTGCAAATGCTTGTGATTTCGAGTTGGAAGGTAAACTGGTCACGACGTCTGTTCCTCTCGGTGTTTTGGTTGGGCTGAGATAGGTGTAAAGCAGAACAGCCGAACAATCCCAGATTCTTGCGTCGATCTTGAAGGGACGTCGATGCGACGGCCACCTGCCTTTCCCACCTCCCTGTCTCTCGCTCTCTCTCTCTCTCTCACACACACACACACACACACGCCCACTCACACACCTTTCACCATCCCGAAAGAGCCGTGCGTGTTCCAGGTAGGTGTTGTGTGGGCAAGTCAATTTCGGTCGTTTCCTGAGGCATGAACCCGTCTTCGTCATCATCAGCGCCTAGCCCGTCTTTTTGGTTTCACAGCTGCCACGGCCAAGATATCCGGCATCTTCAACCCGAGTCAATCGACAGTGCCCTGGTCAAACAATGGAAGATAGGTTCCGTGCAGATTCGAAGTCAACAGTCTCAGGTCCAGTAGCAGGAGCACTAGACTGTGCCCATGTGCGCGCTAAGAACAGTTCAGGCAGAAATGTGTGTTGAAAGTTTCTTGTCCTTGGGGGAGTAGAGCTTTAGCTGCACTTGCTCGGCACTGGGGGAGATCCGGGGATGCACATGGACACTGAACTCGCAGAAAGCAACCGCGATTGAACTCAGAACTTCAGGCTTGTGACCTCACAGCAGAATCCTTGGTGAATTATTTCAATTCTGTAGTGGAAAGAGCCATGTTCAGCAAGCTGCAGGGAGGGCTTAAATGTTCGCCCAGGATGTGGTGACATATCTGCGGCAGAGGCTTTCGCAGCAGAAGTCAGCCCCGTGCAAGCTTGGATGGCATGTGCCGTCAGTCCTACACGAGTCCTACACCGCAACATTCTGCTGAGCTTTCCTGATTGTTGCGGCCTTCCCTGTCTTGCAGATTACCCTCCCAAGCGTCTCCCAGCTATCCTCCAGCTACTAGGTCTTAGTGACCCAAGGGAGGCGGGAGTGCGATCTGCGCGCTCCGGACATCGGCATACTTGCGATAACCACAGCTCCTGCGTTCACCTGCAAGCCAGGAGAGCCAGGACTCGGTGCTGGGGCTGCGATGCATTATTGAGGGTGTGTCACTAATTGCACGAGCCTCAGAGCTGTTCAGGATACGCCTGTATCGGCATGTCGTAACAACTTGCAGCATATGTACCAGCCAAGAACCCAAGAACCATGTTGACCCTCAGGCCGAAGACTCTTGTCAGGATGCAGTGCAAGTAGCACTGGCCTTGGAATCCTTAAACAGAAGCGGTCCCCGGACTTTGTTTCGCTGTAGCTGCCTGCAGTCGTTACATAACTCTTTTTTCGGATGCTCTGCGAGCTGAAGGTCGAATCTCTCTTGATGACCGAAGTGAGCTGGTGTGCAGTCAAAGGCGCATCTTGGTGGAGGATTCGATTCAGCAGAGGCTGAGCCATGCCGTCCACTCTTCTGCCTTATCTTGCTGTGGATCTGCTAAGGGCCCCCACGCCGATATGTTCCTAGTTGCGCTCATTCCACCAATGTGCCCCGATTGCAGAGTGAGCTTTCTTTTGCTCGCACTCGCTTCTGGCGCCAGAAGCTGCCTATTTACCGACGAGTTGTGCTTTGCCGTTGTTGTAAATCAAGGCTGTCGGTTGCTGAACATTACTGGCCGCTTCTGAAGCCCCTGTGAAATTGCCTGCTTCATGCCGGGCCTTCCAGGCTTGGTGGTGGCATCAGAGGCACCTCAGTAAATGGAATGCCAGCGGCCACCACAGGCCAAGCTTCTCAGCGTACTGTACTGGTGTGGGCTGGTGTCTGATGGGGAGCAGAAGAAGAACATGTTTAAAGAGCGAGGAGCTCATGTGATTCAGCTTAGCATATGGTCGTCACTGGCATGTGCCGACTCAAGCGCATTACAACATTACCTGATGGCAAGGCTGGTTCATACTTGTGCAGGGCTGCGAAGCCCTCGACTTTGTTGATATGCTTAGTGGCAACCTTAGGTATGGTGTGGCAGTCAAATTGCGAGTAACTTGCGGCTGCACTATTGAGTGGCCGAGGTGTACGGGGCTGCCTGCGGACGGACCTTGATAAAACATTTCAATTGGCCCGTGACGGTGATTGTTCCATTGGAGAGGGAGCGCATCTCGTCACAGGGATTGAGTGCAAAGATGTGGCATGATAGCCGTGCAGTGCTGGCCTCTAAGACTCCAAGAGCCTGCCACCAAGGTATGCCACCGTGTACCATATGCGGGATCGGCTCTTAGCCAGACTGGGTAAAAGCCAGCTTCTTCACCCACGGCCACTTACCTGACCGCGCTGTCCCTTTCCATCTTCCCCTCGAGTATTGGTTGATGCAGGTTTTTCCTGACTGTAACATAATCTCGAACCAAACTTGGGACTGCTGTCGCCTCGCGCAGTGATCAATGTCGTCGACCGGCCAGGAACACGCCCATTCTTCCAACTAGCATACAAATTATTTGACTTCGAACATCCCCACTCTCTTGGTAGAGATACTCTGGGGTTGGGCACTCCAGGGACACTCTGGGGCTGGACACTCTGGGGACGTTCTGGGTTGGGCACTCCAGGAGACACTCGGGGTTTGGGCACTCCAGGGAGACTCTGGGGCTGGGACTCTGGGGTTGGGCACTCCAGGGAGAGTCTGCGGTTGGGCACAGGGCACTCCAGGGAGACTTTGGAGTTGGGCGCTGTAGGGAGACTCTGGGGCTGGGTACTGCGGGGAAATTCTGGGGTTGGGCACTCCAGGGAGACTCTGGGGTTGGGCACTCCAGGGAGACTCTGGGGTTGGGCACTCCAGGAGACTCTGGGGCGAGGAGAAGAGTTGAATTTAGAATCTAACAACCCCACACCGAGGGTGGGGGAAAAGGCTGCACTTCATGCGGTCCTGTCCGCATGTGGACATGCCTCCATGCACCTGACCGTTGTCCTTGGAGCGGAGGGGAAACTTTTACATGGACTTCCATTCTTTTACACTTCATCTCCGCACATCCCCGCCCTACTGTAGTTGTCATTTTTTGCTCTGTTGAGGCCCCTTCAGGTGAAAACGTTGCAGCTCCTTGGCTGCAAAAGTCACAACGTATGAGGGTTTGCTGTCGCTGTTTTTGTGCGACGCAGGTTAAGCAGATGAATCACACCGCAGACCTGGAATCGATTGAAAGAGAGGCTTTTCCTCTTGTTGGGGGAGTGTGGTAGCTTCGTGCCCAGCTGCATCCGACTACGTAGTGGCATCGGCAGTGCCAAAGTCGACCAGCTAATGTTGCATCTTTCAGTTTCATCTTGTATCGAGAGATTCAATGGCTGGACCCATGTCGTGCGACTTTGCCCAGCTTACAGATGAGACTCCATCAAAGCACTGCAAAGGGAATTCATAAAAGTGTTCCAGGGAGATGCAGTTCAACCACAAAACCAGCGCTCGCTCTCGGTCGCTCTCTCCCTCTCTCTCCTGCCTCTCTTCTGCTTCCTCCTCTCTCGCATCTCTCGCTCTCTCGCCACTCGTCTGGGTCGCTCTCTCTCTCTCTCTCTCGCTCCCGTGCCTCTCTTCTCCCTCTCTCCCTCTCGCTCTCTTGCTCTTCCCTCTTCCCTCTCCCCTCTCCATCTCCGATGTTGCCGCTGAAAGTGCTTGATCCTATGGTAGCCGCGAAGCGTAAGAAGGCCAAACTACACCGCGAAAAGTTCTCGACCTCAATGTAGTGCTCAATGGCGCTTGATCGGAGAGGAAGGCATTCTTTTGGGCAAAAATGCAGTGCTTGTCTCTCTTCTTTCATGCAAAGGCATCTCCTGGACGCTCTGTCACTATGTGCCACGTCAGCATCCAGCTACCAGCTGCCAGGTCAGCGCACTCGTGGAGCTTCAGGGTGACAACATCATCGGCTTCCGCGGGCTTTTCTGGAAGATGGAGATGGAGACCCAACTGAAGTTCGTTAAGAACGTTTTCATGCTGTGACGCTGTACATCCAGGTCCTGAGAGTTTGGAATGCCGAGGAGCAAGTTCGTTTCTCCAGCGTATTTGATTTGGCATCCGGCGGTGATCTGCTGTACAAGGCAGGGTTGGAAACAGTCGAAAATTCTATTCGCTCAGTGCTCCTCCATGTTGTTGGATCAGGTGCTGCACTTGGGTGGAATGTCAGAAGCAGCTGCCAGACCACTTTTTAAAGGCAGCTGGGTTCTAGGAGCGGGAGCCGGAACCAACATCAGTGTGTCGTGGCAACTCTGCTTAGGTATCCTTCGAGGCTTGCACAGGATCCACGATCATGGCTTTGCTGGCGGCTCAATGTCCAGATAGCTTCGCCTTTCATTCCACTTGCCCAGCATCTTCACAAGGTTCACAGAGATGTGAAAACGGAGAACATTCTGCTGCAGTCCGGTGATGTGCCGATGGTGGCCGACTTCGGGACCCCGCGCTTGATCTGTGCTCTGCGAAGTGTTCAACTGTGTTGACCTGTCCAAGAAGCCTCGAAGAGCCCCTCAAGTCACCGGAGCTTTGGATTGCTGTAAAGATCAACGTGCTGAAGCCTCCATTGAAGAAGAGGTAAAAGCTTTCGCAGGGCTTATGATGGTTAAGCCTTCGTACCTGGAAGTTAAGCACAAAGCGCCTAACACCAAGCAGACCTGAGTCAAGCAAGCAAACGCACCGCGCTCTGCCTTCTGAGAGCCAAGCATATACGAAAAGGCCTGGCTTGGTGGGGCTGCACTCCCGGTCTGCTCTGGTAGAATTACCTTCGGGGGACCAGATGGCATCCCTTGGCGTGTTGGCCCGAGCCAGTATTGCTGGCTCCGTGACAACGTGCCACGTCCCCCAAACGTGCAATGGGCTGGTCCCCGGCTCGTGTACGCTGATCAAACGTCGGTGCAAGGAGCCTTTCATCCTGGAGCAGCCCGACTTCTTAAGTGAACTCCAGGAAGATTCCCTTCCCGAAGCAGTAACATATCATGGAAGATCATTAGTCATTGATGCCTTCCGAGGAACAATGTAAGGAGGAGACTCGGATCATCTAGTTTCCCATCATTTGTTGCCTTCGGGCTTGTTTTCAAGTAGTGGCCGCACGACACACCACCTCCTAGATATCAGTTTTTCCTTGGTCCCTTACTATGCACCCTTCGCACTTATTGCCGCTTATGGCTGCTTATCGTCACTTATCGCCAGGGAACGACAGCTTGAAACAGAAGTGGAGTGTTTCTTAATGCATTTTCGTGTTTTTGTTCTGATCTTTAGTCTTTGGGCTTTGCTATTGGCTTTCGAGGGGACAGCAGCCTTCCTGAATTTCAGCAAAATTCAGCATGATCTTTCCGTGAATCATGGTACTCCAGATATGCACACGTGGAGGCCCATGCATCCGGTGTAAGCGGGGAGAAGCAGCAGCCTCTCGCTTTGCCGCAGAACAAGCTTGATGCAGGCTGGCTTGCCGCACCACCGATGAGCAGCAAATGTCAAGACGATGCGGTTCTGCAGGGTTTGTAGCGCCCGAAGTGCCCCGACGGCAGATGAAACATGCCTTGACGTTGGTGTTGTACCAGCGCTGACTTGCTCTCACACCTGAGTCTGCAAACACTAGGTGTGCTTGGGCACCCCATATGCCTCTTGAACAAAAAGAGAACTCTTTGATGCTTTGGTGCTGGCTAGGCAAGACTCTGAACAAACCCTTGAATCTTCAGGCATGTAGTATTCGAACCGCCATTTTTCTGATGTAGTTGTGAATAACCAAGGGCAACAAAGTTGACACTTTTGGAGCAGGCGCGTGGTTTCAACAATCCGGCATCCGAAAGTGCGCACACGGCTTGATGGTCAAGATGCATGTCCCTGGTGAGGAGTCATTTTGTACTTCATGTTGAGCAGGGAACTGCCTTTCAGCAGTCCTGATCGGGACTCAGCCGCAACAATGCGCAAAACGGTGAAGTGCAGACCTCAGAAGTATCTTCAAAGACGGCTGTTTCGTGAATGTGCGTCGGCTGTCGGCATACCATGGGTCCATGGAGCTCAGTCCTGATCTCAGCTATCCTTCAAGACTGAAGCGAAGGTGTAACTTGCATCTTCAGCGGCCCCCGTTTGATTCCATGACGAGCCGCTTGCGAGCCCTAGCTGCCGTAGCTGAACCATTCATCCTGTGAGCTCTTGCGATAATGGACGGCTTTGCTGTTTTCGGTTTGTCGAATTTGCAAAAAACACGCCGGTATCTTTGTAATTTTAACGCTACGCGACCCGCCTCGGCCCGGCCCAGCGCATCCGCGTGAGCATGGTGATTCCGCAGCGCCCAAGTCGGGTTTAGGGTTCCGGGTTTATGGTTTATGGTCTGGGGTTTAGGGTTGAGGGTTAGTTTAGGATTGAGGGCTTAGGGCTCAGGTTCTTGCTTTGGGGTTTAGGGTTTTTTTGGGTTTAGGGTTCAAGAGACGGTTCGGCTTGGATTGATCGTAGGGTTGAGCCAGGCCCCTCAGGGGGGGTAGGGGTGGAGGGGGAAGGGGGGCAGAGGGGAAAGGGGGGGGGGAGCTAAGATTGAAGGTTTCGGGTTTCGGTTACTCTTCGTCCCCGGAGTTGAGCCTCGAAAACCGGGGGGCGAGGTGGGGGGAGGGTGGGGGGGGGGTGGGGGGGGGAAAGGGGGGGGGGGCCCGCTGGGAGGGCTTCAACTGCCTCTGGTTTTGGCGAACCGTCCGCTTGCGGACCCCGGTTTCCCAGGGGGGTACCCATTTGAGGCAAAAAAGGGGGGCCTCGGCGGATTTGCGGCCGTGCTCACACCAGTGAGCCTCCGGCCCTCAAGCCAGCGCGTCGGAGCAGGAAAACTCCGCCTTTCACAAACACCTTATGTGAGCAAGCGCCAAAACCCCCAGCCATTCAATTAAGCAAGGGGAAAACCCTGTAAAACGATGGGAACACTTGAAAAGCGACCTCTTGTTGCGTCCATTAGCACCTCGAGCCCAGCCGCTCATGTGGCGGGTAGGGGGGGGGGGGGTAGGGGGGGGGGGGGGGGGGGGGGTGGGTGGGGGGGGGGGTAGGGGGGGGGGGCAGGGGGGCGGTGAAAAAGGGGGGGGCCCTGCTGGGAAGGGCTGCAACTGCCTCTGGTCCTGGCGAACCATCCGCTTGCGGACCCTGCTCACCTAGGGGGGGGTACCCATTTGAGGCAAAAAAAGGGGTCCGAAAAAGGGCTTTGCGTCTGGCGGGAGGATTTGGAGGGGGGTGCCTGTTCTGACTACCAATACACCTTCGGCCCGAGGCCTCGGCGGATTAGGCGTCTGTGGGTCTGGCTGGCTTAGTCCAGTGTGTCACCTTTTTCAGGTATTACGCGTTTTTTTGGCGCGCCGACGCGAAAATTCTAAATCTTCGAATTCGGGATAATTTGGGTCTGGAACGCGGCTGCAAAAATTCCAAGATTTTTCAAACTGTCGACACGTCCATTTGGACGGCTCAGCTGTTTCCGGATTTTCGAATGTTTGCAAAAAGCGGAGCGCGCAGGTGACTTGTTAATTAGTTAGGCAGCAGTGGATCTGGTTGGCTTAGAAAGAAGGGCTCAGGGCTCATCGGAGAATTGTTGAGCATACCCTCAGGAAACATTCTCCGGCAGTCGCTTGGCTTCAGTATACAGAAGCCTGCAAATCGAGCATGATTCTCTGCAGTGAATGCCAATGTCTGCTGCATTTGCCAAGCACCTTCCATTAGGCTGATCTGCAAGAACCAAGAGGACCGACTTACTGCCACTTACCCGAGTTAGGAGCCCTGTGCTGCTTTCGTCAAAGCTGCGCTGTAATATTTTGGTGAAGCCAGTGGGCTCATCAACCCAAGGCAGCTGCGGCTTTGGATCATTCCTGGATTGCGGGGAGATCTGACAAGACCAGCGGCTCCTGAGCGAATTTCTGCCCTCAGTTGAGGCCCTGAAACGAGACTGCACATGAAGCCCGTGATACTTTCTTCGCGCTCCTTGAAGCCGAGGCTCGTCAAGCAAGAAGAAGGAGAGGGACAAGGTACCTTGGCACTTCAAACGCCGAAGCCCACTGTTTAGGGTATAACAGGGGTATACAAGGGGTCCCCTATATCAGGGCCCATACTAAGGGACCATGCAAACTACCCTAATTCAAAACGTAAATGGACAGGTCATGGAGACTCTCCTCGCACCTTTGGGTCCTCCCGGAGAGTTTCCACCTCCAGATGCAAGTCAAGCTCAGCCGAGTGATTCCTCGGCAGGATCCGGGTACAATTCTTGCAACCCACACTTTCAAGACTTACAGGGGTTTTGCCTTCGAAGGAGCCTATGCAGCACCTGGTGAAATCCAGCCTGATTTCCAATGACCATCAAATCTATCTATCTGAATCTGTTCTCATCAGGAGAACTTGCGAATGCAATACATGTCACCCGATCAAAGCCTTCGGGAAACTTGTGATTTAAATGCTTCGAGTGTTTTAATCAGTCGGTCAACAGATTTTCCACTCTTGCGAATTCTGTATAGGCTTCATGTGCCTCCGGGAAAAACCGCCCTCAGAAATGGCGAGCTTCTCATGTTGACATCAACATTATCTCACAAGACAGCGGTCCGGCCGGTCCATTGTCTTGCGCGCGGTCTAGCCCTCAGGCTGTCGGAGTTCAGCATGAGTTCATCCCCGCGGCGATCTTGCTGCTCAAAATTCCAGGAGTTTTTACCCTGGAATTCTTGCTGGCTGCGTGACAGCTTGGCTGGCTGCTCGTCTACACGGGCCGGCTGCTCCGCTGGCTATTCCATTGCCGAAGAATTACCTTCTCCATGGGATATATTGATCGTAAATGAATCACGATTGTTCTGCGAAATAATTGAGAACATTGGATTCGATGATTTGGGGTTGAAAAAGATGTATACTAAGACCGGAAAATGGGCGAGATTTCACGGCCGGGTTTTCTCGGAATCAAAGGAATATACCCGTAAAATCAAAGGTTACGGGCTCGGCCGCCTTTTTCGCTCTGCAGCAGCCTTGTCGTATGCCCCTGTCTTCTTCCGTTCTTTTTGGCTACTTGTGGGGGCCTTACAGGGGATTCCCGAAAATTCCCGGAAATTTTCAGGATTCTTACCGAAAATTCCTGGAAATTTCGCCGCAAGTTCCGGGAATTTTCGGGATCCCCCGCCAGCTTCGGTTCATTTTTTACCTCCATATCGTCCGCCCTTAGCCGTCCTTGGACGACAATGAGGGCCTTTCAAACGGGGGGTGGAAAGGGGCGTAAGGGGGGGTATGATTGGGGTGTCAGGGGGGGGAGGGTCAAGGGGGCTGCAAGAGGGTAGATGGTGTCAGGCGGTGAGAGGGATTTAATAGATAATTATAGGAAAGATTCTTAGGGGTGTTCAGTTCAGATCCGTGCCGGGGATGATTACTAAGGAGACTTCTGACCATTCATAACACTGGGAATTAATTTCATTAAAGGAATTCATGTGCAGATGTTGTAGATACCCCTGATTGACCCAGAATCACTATACGATCGAATGTCGGCGATCTCGATCAAGCCCTTACCGCCATTGAGACACTCCCCCACAAACATATCTCCCTCCATCTCATGAAACAATATTTGAGTTTCCCGAAATTGGCATATTGTACGAGGATTATTCCGAGACGTCATCTTGCGTCGATTTTGGAGGCCCATAGCAGTAAATTTCGAGCAACGCTCCAAAGATTCGTCGCACAACAGCTGACAGATAGTCAATGGTAATAGGCAATATTGCCCACGATCTTCGCTGGTCTTGGGTTTAGTATGGATGAGTTTCGGATTATCGGGGGCGGTGTCCACCAGAGTGATTGGTCTTCTTGTATTCCATTCGATAAATCTGCGGTTCCATGAAAGATATGTTGAAAGCAATCACCCATGCCTAGAACGATCCCGCTGAGGCCCATGCTCTGCAGAACCTCATCCCTTTTCTCCCGAATATTTCCCCGGCTCACGGTACGACCTGCCCGAATTACGGCGCATTGGTACAGGTAGCCATTCAGAAAAGCAGTGATTGTCTTCTGTAAGGATCCTCTACGAGCGACACGCTTAGGATTCAAGCTTATCAACTCCCATGGGGTGATGAATGGCTCATCGGAATGCCTCATATGAATTCAGATACTCTCCTCTCTAATATTACTAGACCTTCCTCTCCTCTGTTGTGCTTGCTCATGCTCCCCAACCTGGCCCGTACTCCCCAAACCTTCAACACGGAACTTCGAAGTTTCATGTCGAAAAGCCTCTTACCCGAAACCTGCGAAAATCTGTGTTTTTTCGAGTAAAACATGCATTTCCCAAAAAAGTGCGGGCAAGCGCCCTGCCCTGTGCCTAAAATATGAATGGATCTTTGGGAGGGGGTTTTGAAGATACTTCAGATAACTTCAGCAGATTGTATCTACTACGAAGTTTTGGACCTTAGGGCCGATCAAGCACACCGTCTGCTTAATCTTTACTCTGGGATCGAATTCGGTAAATCCAAAAAAAACGAATAGGGGGTGCCCCTAGAAAAGACCCGAAATTTGATATGTATGTTTTTTGTTCTCTCTCTGTACTTTCTCCAATCTCTTTATGCTTAAGTAGCCCATGACCCCTAAGGTCCCTCATAATGGTCCCTCTTTAAAACAATTGCATCTATGTCCAAAAGCACCAATTAGAAATCTTCAGAAATTCCAAAAACTCTTGCGAAACAATGCTGCCTTCATCAAAGGAATGATATCACACGATTCCAAGCCCCCAAGAAGTGGATTAAAACGCCACCCCAAGGGCACAGAATCGCGGCAGAAGAATAAGAACGCAGACGACCCCAGTAAGACCAAATAATACAGACGTTCCTTTCCTGTGATAAATTGCTTTCTCTATATTGCATTCCATCAACTTCCTATGTGGTTGCCTCAGCAAAGCTGTGAACTCGTTTCTGCCGGTCGGGAATATTTGTCGGAAGATTCCCTGCATGGTGGGGCAAAGCTCTTCGCAGCTGTTGGAATGATTGGGGGTTGAAACTCATTGCTTCAGCCATTGTGGCTCATGTAGCTACTGGGCCGTGTTGTAGTCGTAGTATCCATGGAGGAGAGTGCTCCGAAGAAGCGGTGTCACTTCGCAATCCGCAAGGGCGATGTCTACAAAGCATGCTCGAAATGCAACGTAGTCAACATCGCGCACGTCTCCCACGACTGTCCCAAGAATGGCCGTACGAGACGGCCAGGAAACTTCACTGGTCGAGGTCATGCAGAGCAGCAGATGCTTCTCCACGGTTTGATTCAGAGGTGCGGTGGTCGTACTATGAGGATAACATCCGTCGGTGGCGGTGAGTCGGTGTTGGGCCACGTGGCTACGGAGCTCTTGCAGCAGATTCAGGTGGAACGCGTGGAGGCCGACGAGGAACAGGAGGCGCCTCAGTGTCTTAGGTGAACCACCATGAGATCTTAAGTCTTCTTCGGGCATTGCCATTGGCAAACTGGCTGCTGCTTTCAAAGTATGCCAAATCCATAGAAGCGATATTGCTGTTCCGCAAGGGCAAGTCAGGTGCATGTTTGGGGGCCGTGAGTATCTGCATCGGCTGTCCCACACCACGCTTTCCTCGTCCCTGATCGTTTGTTTCGTTCTCTTCGTTTCGTGTGCTCCTTGACCATGGGACCTGTTTCTGGGTATCCGCGAGGCAACTACGCACCCCAGGATCTTGGCGGAGGCGGTCCCATGCACAGTGTGATTGAAGCATGCAGGGAATGTGAGCACACTTTGTTCCCTTCTTGCTGCGTGTCCTTGCAAAGAATTGCTCTGTTCTCGTGTCGGGTTGTTTGTTTTTCGGTAGGGGGGGCGGGGCAAATGGGCAGAGAGGACCTCGGGTGGGGGGCGGGGAGGGGGGCAAGGGGCCCTTTTTTGGAGGCCAAAGCCGAACGAGGGTTGAGCGAGAGAACGATGCGGCTTCAGTTTGCGCACGCCCCCATTCCGAGCCAGGGTCGGCAGATTGTAGGAGCGCCTAACCAGAAGCAGGAGAGACGTCGACAACTCGAGGCGAAAGATCAGCAGCTGGAGGCGTCGAGCTGCCGCGTTGGATGGCGAGTTGACCTTAAAAGAGGAGTCCTGCTGGCGCGATCACAAGGACTGTCCAGGGGACGGAGGGGGTGTCCGGAGTATTTAGGAGCATGACCGAAGAGCTTGAACCGTGGCCAAGACCTGCCGCAATCCGTTTGTACTCGCATTGCGACGCATGTATAAAGTACAGCCGGAGTTCAATCGTCATTGCACTTCAGGAGAAGAAGGAGCAGGAGCATCAGCGACAACTTGCAGAGAAAGATAAGCAAATGGAGGCTTGTGAATGCGACGTGCTGTGCCGAGATACTCGACGGCGTGTCAGTGCCAGCTGTAGACATGCCAGGCGATGCAACGAGCGCATGCTAGGGAGGCCTGACATGCTCGTGGCACTTCGATGAGCTTTACCTTTGTCGCATTTGCGGCTGCCAAGTCCGGTGCAGGTTCAGGGTCTGCAGCAGGGCTTCCGGCAATGGCGGAGCAACAAAGAAAGTGAGCAGGAAGTTCAGCGAGTGTTACTCGAAAGCATGAATGAGGATCTCCAGAAGCAGGTACATGATCTGTCCTTGCGCATCCAGGAAGTTACCAAGACTTGCCTGATATGCTGTGACGCAGACCCAGTCATGGCCTTTTTGCCGTGTGGCTGCGTCAGCCTCTGTAAGTCATGCTGGGAGAAGGGATCCACTAAACAGGCAGGGTCCCTGAAATGCTTATCATGCATGCGCGACGTGGGCTTTGTACTGCAGGTTAAAGTTCGTGGCTATGGTGGCTGAAACTGTTTATGCTGGAAACCCACCCACGCTCGGCGTATGACCCACAACATCGTCGAATGCCGTCTTTGCCCTTGCCTTGGACCCTTGTTGTTTGACAGCAAGGGCAGGCGAGGATAGTAGATTGTTCTTGACCATGCATGCTTCAACAGATGCACAACACTAGTTCACCCAGCCCTGTTTCTTCGCACTCCTTCGAAACACAGTGCATTGGAATGAAAAGAATGTGGGCGCCATGCGTTGTATGCGTTCATGTTGCAACAGTCATGTTCTTTGAGTGTTGCTGCGCATCTCCGATTGCAAGGGTTTTCATGTTGATTGCAAACAGGTTTTCTTTGTAACCAAAACATCAAGAGCTACGCTCTTACGTTCGCCCGGGTGGAGATGTCTGGGTTGGGTTGTGTGTTGGTAATCTCGAAACATCCCAATGTAGTGCAGGTGTAACAAACCATTACAAACCCAAACGCATGTGTGAGTGTGTGTGCTGCTGGCTGGAAGACCGACGTTATGGCAGACCACAAATGCTGAAATATCGGACGTCGCTTTGGATGCTGTTGGACAGGCATGCCTGCGTCGCTGTGACTCCGCAGTTTTCAGCTCATCAGATTTGGCAGTAGTCTCGTCCACTTGGAATATCTCTGTATATGCATCCCTTTACGCATCTGAATTGGGTACAAAATCTTTGCATTAACAAGAACAACATGGCTTCAACAAGAGGACTCTGACCAAAGCTCCGCCATAGGACAAGCGTAGAT